TTATTCTTTATTAAAGCTACAATAATCAAAACAGCCTGGTATTAGTACAAGAACAGGCATATAGATCAATGGAACAGGATAGAGATTTCAGAAGCAAAACCTCAATTTCTCAACAACTCATCTTCGACAAAGCCTCAACCAACAACCACTGGGGAGAGGAGAACATATTTAGGAAATGGTGCTGGGAAAACTGACTGACCTCATTAAGAAGAATGAAACAGGACCCCTACCTATCACCATACACAAAAATCAACTCTAAACGGATCAGAGACCTAAATGTAAAACCTAAAACCATATGAATCTTAGAAAACGTAGGAGACACCCTTACAAACATTGGAATACACAGCCAATTCCTGATCAAAACCCCCAAAGCTCATGCCATAAGAGATAAGATAAATAAGTGGGATTTCATCAAACTGACAAGCTTCTGCAAAGCAAAAGAAATCAACAAGAGAGTGGAGAGACAGCCTACAGAATGGGAAAAAATATTTGCCAACTGTGTATCTGACAAAGGCCTAACATGCAGGATCTACAAGGAACCCAAACATGTCGAAAGGAAAAAAACAAACAGTCCTATTAAAAAATGGGCAAAAGATATGAGTATATTCTTATCAAAAGAAGACATATGAGCAGCCAATAGATACATGAAAAAATTCTCAGAAATGCAAATCAAAACCATACTAAGATACCACCTAACTCCAGTCAGCATGGTCATTTAATAATCCCAAAAAGAACAGATGTTGGAGAGGATGTGGAGAAACGGCAACACTTCTGCATTGCTGGTGGAGTGTAAATTAGTACAACCTTTGTGGAAGACAGTGTGACGATTTCTAAAAGATCTAAAAATTGACCTTCATATGACCCAGCAATCCCCCTTATGGGAATATACCTAGAGGAAATCACTTTCAAAAAAGATACCTGTGCACACATGTTTATTGCAGTAGTATTCACAATAGCAAAAACACGGAACCCAATCATGCTGCCCATCGAAAGTGGACTAGATTAAAAAGATGTGGTACTTAAACACGATAGAAAATTATGCAGTCATAAAGGACAAAATTACGGATTTTGCAGCATCTTGGACGGATTTGGAGTCTATCATACTCAGTGATCTATCACAGAAAGAGCTGAATACCACATGTTCTCACTTATAAGTGGAGCTTGAACATTTATCATACTACTACAAGAAAGGAATTGGCAGTAGTGGGCCACTGCCAGGGGCGGGAGGTAGGAGCACATAACAGCCATAAGGGTACCTGATTCTAAACCTGGCAAAGTGAGGACCATTGGGAGGCACAAACTTTACCTGTACCTAATCCTGAATTGTACCCCACATCTTGAAAATAAAATTTTTTTAAAAAAAATGATAGAGGTTCCTTTTGATTTCATACCTGTCTACAAGTTTTGGAAAAAACAAAACAATGACACATCGTTTTTCTTTCTTGGAAGTACTTTCTTCTGTACTCACCACCTACAATAGAAGATGCTGTTAGACTAACTAAATACTCCAGTTATTATGTGTTCTAAGAACAACACTCAAATAAAACAACATATGCATTTGCTAAAGGAAATGAAATATGATGAGAAAAAAAGGGGGCAGTTCTGCTATAGGTGCCAGGAAAAAAAAAGGAAACTTTTGAAATGTGATTACTTAACACCGGTTGGTAACCTTTCTAGAACATTATGCAGAAAGCGGGCGAGGGAGGACCTGTCAGGGCACAATCCGGTGCGAAGGCCCCTTCCCATGCAGCTCTCCTTTTCTGGCCTCCACATCGCCCACCTTGCTGCATTTTTTAAAAGCTCTAACTGCAATGAGAAAACAGCCCTCCAGTTACATTTTTAGGGCAGTGACTAGAAAATGTCTTTTTTTTTTTTTTTTTTTTTAGTTGGAGTCTCACTCTGTCACCCAGACTGGAGTGCAGTGACCACTCCCGGCCACCGCAGCCTCGATCTATTGGGATCCGGTGATCCTTCCGCCTCAGCCTTCTGAGTAGCCAGAATTACAGACGCGTGCTACCACGCCTGGCTGATTTTTTGATTTATTGTAGAGATGAGGTCTTGCTGCCCAGGCGGGTCTCGAACCCGCGGGCTCAGGCAATTCACTCACCTCAGCCTTCCAAAGGCACGGGATTACAGGCTGAGTCACCAAGCCCGGCTGGGAATGTCTTTTTATCTGATCTTAAATTCTCAGTGATTTGTTCAAATCCTGTCTTTCTGAGGTGGCACATCAGAGGGTCACAAACAGGCCTCCTTCCTTAATGGCCCTTGACTTTGCTAACTTTAAATACAGAGGGTAAAGCTAAACAAAATCACCCCAAGTCACCTGTAGAACCCAGAATGTCCTTCTTTCTCTTGTACTTGGGAGAGTCACTTTTAAGTCACATCTCTCAATGTCACTGAAGAAAATAAAACAGAAGTGGCGTTTATTTGGCCTTTTTAGGCATGAAAGCTAAACACTGATGAGAAAGGCCCGAAACTGCCCAAAGGGACTCCTTTGAGAGCCTCAGTCACTCACAATCATGAGGTATTTTGAATGGGTGCTGTGTGGCTGACCAAAAACACACACAGAAAAACAAACAAACAAACAAAACCCCAAAACACGCAGGATGACTGCAGGAAAGGCAAGACTACTGGACAGTCTGCTCTTCCAGGTCCCTTTTGGACTCGTCATTTGATTGAACTCCAGCTGTTTTCCGGAGAACTGCATTTCGAAAATCTAGCTCCTTCTCTTAAAGCTGCAGCAAAATGCAAAGTGGAATGGATGGAAATTGCTGTTACATTTTAATTGAAAGCATTCTTTGATTCACAAATCGTTTTGAGTCCGTCAAAATAATCACAAGCAGGTTCCCGTAGCAATGGCTTCATTGGCTAGAATATGCTTCTTTGTCTGCAGTTCCCAGCTAACGTTCTTTATTTTAGGAGCACCACGACAAGTTTGTGCCTGAACACTTTACTTCAATCACTTCCTGTTGCTGAGAATAGAGTATCATGGGTAATCACAGAGCTCAGGATTCACCGAAACATAATACAGTCCTCATGCAAGATGAGGTTTCCAGAAAATAAACAGACGAGAGAGAAATTGTTTCCGCTAGTATGTAGAAATATTCTGATGAGGCATGTGTGTGACAGGAACATGAGGTTTGCGTGGACTTGAAAGAACAAAATGTTCTGCTTCCACCTCCAAAGCAATGAGAAGACCGAAACCAAAATTGTGGTGAGGTGGGTCATCTTTGGAAGAGCAAGGCATTAGCAACAGGAGAAAGGTGACAGTGAATGAGCAGGAGGAAACGGCTCTGGCAATACCAGTTGAGAAAAAAAGCACCTACCACTGGGCCTTTCTCCTGCAGAAGCCCCCACCTCCAGGTCTCCCACACACCACCCAGGCTTTGTGGCAAAGGGAAGGGCCAAGGCCCTGACCAGCAGCTCCTGTGGGGTGGCTGGTACACTGGAGGGGCTTGCTGTCCTGACGTCATTTTCAGTCTCAGTCCCAATTCTACCTGCTTGTTTCACCCTGTGAAGCCACCTTGTTGATGCATCAGCAATACATGTTTTTAAAAATCCTTCATGGGAAGAAAAACTGACATCCAGAAAGGCTGAATGTAAAAAAAAAAAAAAAAAAAAAAGATTTCAGTTCTTGATTTCTAATGCTTGATAGAGGTGACTCTAGTATAGTTTCAGCTCTATGCCGGTAACATCACCAGGATTCATGTGCTCTGTGGTGAAAGGATTTTTCATTATATCTTGACACAGGCTTATCTTATTCTCTGTCTCGCCACAGGAGTTCTAACTGGTGTACTATCCAGCTGGACTGACCCAAATTCAAGCTCTCAGCCTTGTCTGCTCACTGGGTTCCTGCCCAGCTGCTGTGCCCGGTTCTGTTCCTTTGTTCCCACAATCAGGCAGTACCTCAGTATCTATTTGTTGGCCTTAAATCCAAAGCATATTTCTTTTTCAGAATGTATTACTCTGGAGTATAATTTCTTCTCTTTCCTGCTGAAAAAGTTCAGCATCCTTTTTTTTCCTCTTTAGTTAGTTGATGGTTGCTGTGGGCTGAATGTTTGATACCCTTGTCAGATTCATATATTGAAAACTCCCCAATGTGATGGTATTTGGAGGGTCAGCCTTTTAGGAGGTAATTAGGTTTAGATTGGGTGCTGAGGGCTTGACCCTCAGGATGGGATCAGTGCCTTATGAGAGGAAGGCAGATTTCGCTGGCTTCATCCTCACGGAGGAAAGGTCACATGAGGACACAATAAGAAGGAGGTGCTCTGCAAGCCAGGAAACTCCTCACCAGGATCAAATCTGCTGGCACTTTGATCTTGGATTTCCAAGCCTCTAGAACTATGAGAAATAAATGTCTATTGTTTAAGTCACTCAATCTATGGTATTTGGTTATAGCAGCCCAAGATACCGAAGACAATGGCTGAATAATAAAATAGATATGGGCAAATAATAAATAACATAAAGAAAGGTGTATTTGCCCATGGTCTTTACAAAACCTTATGTAACCTGCATAAACAAAGACAGGGGAAGTGACATGAGGCAGGTACAGGAACAAGAGTGGATCCTGGATTTCTTCTAGAACTGTTATCCAAAGCACTGACTTAGAAACAAGCATTCTGGGACAGGTCTTCCTCTCCATGGAGCTCAGTCTCTTGGCAGAGGGAGTCAGACTAGTTGAATTATAAGGGTGGAAAGAAGCTATGATTCTCTTTAGAAACTGTACCTCCTGTGGGCACCCTGCAGGGCCAGGAGGGGAAAGATGGGAATGCTCCTTCTCTCATCTCCAAGAGCCATGTTCCCACTCAGGAACTCAAAGGCAGACTTGCCCAGAGTGTGGGAGTCAGTCCTGCTCTGTGAGGCACTCATGGAATCCCCACATGCAGGTTTCTCTGGATATAGCAGGGTAGCCTGGAGTCTGGAGGCTGGGCAGCCAGCTGACTCCTGAGGAGCTAGCACATCACCTGGCCTCATGCACAGCAGCACAGAAACACACAGGCTTGAGTGGAATTTTATTTTTATTTACAACTTTTGTAGTTATGGATATTTAAATTCTCAGCAATAATTTATAAGTTACATATCATTATATTTCAGCTATCAGAAGAACAAAGACAAAAAATTAAAGTACAAAGACAGATTTCAAAAATGAGGTTACTGTAATGCACCATAAAAAGAGTTCAAATCAAAGTATCAAAGACTTCACCTACTGGAACTAAGCATAAAGCTTAATACCTCCCTATGAGCCTATGAGCCTAAAATTACAAAATTTAGCAACCGCCTTAACCAAGGAATCAACATTTCTGTGTTTTCAAGGTAAGAAAACAAAAAAAGAATACTTTGGTAAGCTATCTTTAATGTTTAAATGTTTCTACCCTGTCTTTATCTTGAATGATTGTATATAAATACAGGCACAGCACATATTTGAGAAAAGGTCTCACAAATGTCATATACTACAGGTTTCTCAAACATCTTCATTCAATGAGAAAAGTGATTCAATCTCTTGAATTTTAAGTATAAAAAAGTTACAAGTATTTCCCAGGGACTCTTAAAGCTCTCTCTCCAGAAGTATAAAATGTTATGCACTTTCAAAATCTTAAGCATTCACATTTTTTCTGAGATCAAAACAGGTTACAAAACTTGCTCCCAATATAGATGCTCATATGCCATTGTGCACACATAGCCTTAGAAACACTCACAGGACCCTGTCTTCCTTGTTAGCCTGGACTGTGATGGTGACTACAGTCAGATCAGCCCCCTTCCCATCTGTCTCCAGGGTCAAATTTCCTGGCATATATTAGCCTGTTATTCTTCAGTAGTTTCTTCCTTGGGGGATTCAAGCTCACTCAATAAATCTTTACCAACTGATCCAGCTTTTGAAGCAAAAATAATTGCTCCCTGTTTAAAACCAAGGTTTTTCAGACTTCGGGCATAATCTACATATATAGCAGCGATGAGTTTCTGTAAAGTCCAGTTAAGGAAAAGAGTAACAAAAGTGGCTGTCATTAGCTGTGACTGAATGCAAAGGCAGAAAAAGAGCCGCCTCTGCTGGGCTACTGGGAGGACTGGGTGTCCATAGGAAGCTCTTTGTTAGGGGAGGGCGATTTCTGGCTGTGGGAGCCTTGTCTCGATCTGTAACATCACTACCCTTTCTCCATGCAAGATGGGCCCAAGAGTCTCCTTTCAGAAAACCTGACATCCTCTCAGATTCTTCCACAACCTACACCCAAATAAAGAAAAATAAGGGAAGAGAAACTTAATATGCACATGCCTTTGTTCCATTTGAAAGTCTGAGAGGCTGGTGGTTTTGGAGTAAATATTTCTCACCAAAGCCGGAGCTCCATATATCTGCACGTTAGGTTTATACAAAGCCCTGTTCTGTTGTGTTTTAATATTCAAAATGGGTACTTAGAATCAGTCACTTTATATGATCCTGAGTAGGCGCAGGCTTAAATTTAATTTTAAACGTTAAAAATTTTTAGTTTAGTTTTAGTTTAATTTTCTGTAAAAAAAAAAAATATATATATATATTTTGTATATATATAAATTATATTTTTTGTATATATACACATACAAAGAAACAAATACTTGCCATGAGACCAAATGTAATAATTCAAGGAAAAGTACAGTAAGAAGAAGAAGCAGGGCTATGCAAACACAAGGAATTGGGAATTGTATTCTCAAGTCCATTTTTTTATAATAAAAAGAATGTGACTCAGGTAGATGTTTAGAAGAAATAAAATGTTTTCTTGCTGATGAGTAGACCGTAGTAGCTTGCCAGTGTGATGCACCTCAATGGAGTGCTTTATTTTGTTCCTTATCAGATTGCCACTATAGGTGTCAATGGAGTCTTTCTTTTTTAGTTATTCCAAATAAATATATTTTCCAAATTTATTTTCCAAATAAAGATACACAACTTATTCCATGGAATGTCTTGTTTTGAAAGAGTACTGTTTTCAAGTACCAGGACCTTGTATCTTTCCTAATTTATCTTTCATCTTCTTTTCAAGTTTGAACAAGATTTTGGGTTCCTGCCCTTTACTGTCCTTGCTGCCTCTCCTCTACCTTAGTCAGAGCTGACGCCAGTGGTACTGCCACCTTCTTTTCTATTCTTTTCTCCTTCCATTTCTCCCTCTCTCCTGGCTTTGGGGATCTTTTGCAATATAACATGTTTCCTGCCCAGGCAGCAAAGCTAAGAGGAATCCTAAGACCCACACATGTCATTTTCTTCTTTCCCACTATACCACCATAAACAACCTTGCAAAGGATATCCATTTCTTCATTGACTTCAAATGCACCACATTTGAGACAAGCTTCCACAAACAAGGCAGCTCTATCAAAATATCTCATGCTGTTCAACAGAACAAAACAAGAGTTATGCTTCCCGATTTATTTCATTTGCCAATTAAACCACTGAAGGGTATATTTCTATATAAAAACTTGTACATATTTTCCCTGATCCTGAATACTGTATAAGTTACACAAGTACCTTTCTAGGCCCTGGTTTATAAAAATAAAGGAGGGGAGAATACTCTCATCCTCAAATCCAAGCTTTTTTAAAATTAATACTCTGAAAAATTGTGAAATACTTTTCGCACAAAAATCTATGCACAAAAATCTATACGATATGAAAAGTACCCATGTATCCACTGTCCAGACTTGGCAAGTAATCTTGTGTCATATTTCCTCCATCTATCACCCTTACTTTTAGATAAATGAAATATCCTATAAGTGATGGGTATTCCTCAAGATTTTCAGAAGTGAAATCTCCATTTTACCATGCTATCACCCTTCCTCCTGCTCTATCAGATTCTTCTCAATTGCTCTATTCAAAACTGAATTGCAGCCGGGCTCGGCGGCTCAGCCTGTAATCCCGAGTCTTTGGGAGGGTGAGGTGAGTAGATTGCCTGAGCCCATGGGTTCAAGACCCGCCTGGGCAGCAAGACCTCATCTCTACAATAAATCAAAAAATCTGCCGGGCGTGGTAGCGCATGCCTGTAATTCCGGCTACTTGGAAGGCTGAGGTGGAAGGATTGTCGGAGCCCAGCAGGTCGAGGCTGCGGTGGCCGGGAGTGGCCACTGCACTCCAGTCTGGGCGACAGAGTGAGACTCCAACTCAAAAAACAAAACAAAACCAAAAAAACCTGAACTGCCCCCAATCCTCTGAAGACTTCTTTTACATTCTTTTTAATAGGTACCTGTTAGGTTTGACCAGTATATTGGCAGAAAAATACCATAGCTCCTAGACCAAATGAAAAATTAATGAATGTGGACAGTTCCTTCTTCCTTTAAGTTTTTTTTTTTAAATAAATCTAAAACATGTACTTCTTTTACTTCACACATCAAGTACTACCATCTACCTGCCAGAGCCTCAAGAAAATGTGAAGGGACTATTATAGAGAATCCTGAGCAGTTCATGAGCACCTGGGTATACCTGTGAAGCATCTCTGCCACGTTGGAAAAGCAGCCCAGAGAGAGGAGGACCAGGAGGGCCTTTGACTTCTGATTGACTTGTGGAGAACAAAGGTAGTCAACCCACCGCTTTAAAACATCAGCACACTCTTCAGAATTTAAACGGACCTGAGAAAGAGGCCCAAGTTAAAAACAAAGTCATCCTGCACTCTATAAAGAAAAAAATAATTCAGTTGAAGTGAGATCTGTTTCTGTGAAGCAAATGCAAGGTTTTTCTTAACTAACACACAGTCCCGAAGCTGCTGTATCCAATGAATAGCAGTGACAGCAGTCCACACCTATAGGACCTGGGGTCAGATAACACCTCTGGGCTATAATCTGGGCTCAGACCCCAGCAGGAGCAGAGGCAGCTGCTTTCCCTTAATTGCTACCAGTGTGAGCTCCATTTTCCAATAAGAAATGTAATTTATACTCATAAAGAACAGGAAGAGGGTGAGAGTTGCAAGAAATTACATGCAAAGTAGTTTTGTAGGCCAAAAAATGCTTCTAGGTCACACATCTAAAGTTGAAAATTGAGCTTTCTATCCCAAATGTTGAAGGCACCCACTGGAACCTGGAACCACCTACTTTTGCCAACCATGCAGCCCGATTCCACTCGCCGTATGTCTGCAGGTAGCGGCAGGCGTCTGCAGCCTTGTCTATCAGGCAAAGCAACTGAACACCCTCTGGAAGACAGAAGAGCAACCCCTTCAGGCGATGTTGCAGCCCTTCTTTGACAAGTCATTAAAAAATTCAATCACTATTTGACTTCATCTAGTCTTACGCATTTTATACCTACTGGAGACATTCTTGACTTACTTTTTTTTAAAATTAGGAGTTTTACACTGTCAGCATTCAATTAACTGAGGTAGGAAGCACAACAGTCTGGAGAATAAGTAAGCAACATATATCTCACAGGTTTTATTGTTCTAGCATTGTCTGATTTTTAGCTATTGTCTTGGTAGTTATTAATTAGTGTCTCCGTTCACTCTTAAAAGTTTTCTGGATTAGATGATTTTTTGTCATAAAGAGCTTGCAATAATTTTTCTATTTTTATTCAGCATATATAAAAAACAAAGAAATGTCCCTACTAATTATGAAACATATTTGATTTTCCAGAAGAACTGACAAATATACCCACAAAGTGTGCCTTACCTGCCAACTTGCCATTGGCAATCATATTAGTTGCCACCAACTTAATGGTGCTCTGAGAGGGGCCTGATGAGGTGACAGTAGTGACCAAACAGGCTTTCAGTGAATCACAGTAATAATGCTGGTTATCTGCACTTGTTTCCAATAGTAACTGCACAGCTCTGTCTGTCTAATAAGAGAAACGGATTTTCTAATTATGAGATTATTTTTCTCCAACATAATCTTTTAAAATTTATAATGTGGAACACTAACGAAAGACATTCATTACATGCTCTTAAATATTTTATTCACATATACAAAACTGAACAAAAGCACTACTTCTTTGAGACAATCATAAAACTAGAGTCTGGTATATCTAAGTGCTCAGCTACCTACCTACTTTAGCTTTGTACCAGTCAATTCAGAGACACACAAACAGAACAAATGGCTAGGCTTCCTTTGACATTATGAAAGCCTAAATTATAAGCTGGTTAACCATGTGTTTTTACTTTCGTACAAGGTTATGGCATTATTTGGAAAGAAAGCACACATTGACAAGCAAGAAGGTATTATGAGATACATGCATGTATATATATCTGAAATATAACTAACATAACTAACTAGCAACCTCAGGAAGCATGAAAGAGTTATAAAAACTAACATACTTGACCCAAGAGGAGTAACTGGTCTGTACATTTCCTTGTATGATCATAAGTTGACCGTTTTATTTCTTGCAGATTAACCCTTTCCAGCTGAAATTTCTAGAATAGGAAAAAAAAAAAAATTAAGCCTAGGCTATAAGACTTTTGAATTATTTAAATATTACTACATTTAACAAAGTCATTTTAATAAACACTACTTTGACTTCAAAGACTGCTAACTAGACAAGTTTATAGAAATCTAACAATTTAGTAAGAATTTACAAAGAAAAATGTTGAAAATGTATTATAGGTATGCATGTCTGCCTGATTACAGAAACTGGTACTTATAGAACTAGTTGAAAAATTCTATGTGCATTAAAGTATTCTCCTGGAGGTTAAAAAAATTATGACATGACCTTTATTTATTCGAATAGCAAATTCAAACCAAGTGAATAAAATAAAGTATCTGTTATTTATAGAAATTAATAAAATGAGATAATTAAAATGAACCTAAGTAAAAATAAAGACAAAAAAGTTGTGATGGTTTAATAATAAAATTTTAATGTCTACTAAAAAACTCAGTGACTATGAGCTTTTCAAGTCTTGAATCAGGCATTTTTAAATAAGAATGTGTGAAGAGGCTTATTCCTATAATGTGGAATTCATTAACTTAGTTTGAAAGTTTTCCATGTTTAAGATAGTTACAAAGGCAAAAGTCATCAAGATGATAGTTTTAAAGGTTTTAATATACATAGTACATTACCTGAAAATAGGCATTTTCGCAGAGTATATCATAACATATATCTAGCGGGTTGTTCAATTTGTCCCAGGAAGCAGCTTCTTTAGCAGTTTTTGTGCCTGCCAACTTTTCCTTGGACAAGCTATGCAGGTAGTGGGCAGCAACAGTCCAGAAGTGCAACTCTGACTCATCACCGTAAAGCCTGAGGAGGGAATCCAAAGTTACCACCGCACTCACATGGCAAACCTGGTCTGGACAGGCTTCTGAGAATAGTCTGAAGCACAGAAAACACTGTTGTCTCATCCACTGGGACACTGGCATGGAACCCAGCAAGTTCTCTAGCCCTGTCACTTTCCTCCAACAATATAGAGGCCTGACTGCATAGGGCCCCTTCAGGCCCCAATATTTATCTGTTCTATGCTAAGGTAAATTATTTACCTGATTTGCCTTTAGCACACCTTTCAATTTGGACCCTAGCTTTACATTAGGAAGAAGTTTCTCTAAAATAACTGGCTAGATAAGGTATGAACATCATGAGCTACTTAATTGTATTGTGCAGTAAGGAAGTACAGGTTGTTGCTTCTAAATATATCTTATCGGTATATTTAAATACATGCCATTTGTATTTTATTTTTTATTTTTTAATTTTTTAGTTGGAGTCTCACTGTGTTGCCCAGGCTGGAGTGCAGTGGCATACTCACAGCCTCTGCAGCCCTAACCTGCTGGGCTCAGGCAATCCTTCTGCCTCAGCCTTCCAAGTAGCTAGAATTACAGGCACACGCCACTATGCCCAGCTAATTTTTTGATTTACTGTAGAGATCTGGTCTCACCAAGTTGCCCAGGCTGGTCTCGAACCCATGGGCTCAGGTAATCCTCTCACCTTGGCCTCCCAAAGTGCTGGGATTATAGGCGTGAGCCACTGCGCCTGGCCTGTATTTGATAGTTTAAAAAACATATTTTAAAAAGCTGTTTGTAGGAGGCATCTTTTCCACAGAGAAGGCCTAAATCTCACATTTAAAATGCAATTTGTTTTTTTTCCCTATTTGTATTACTATTCTCTCTCTCTTTTTTTTTTTTTTTTTGAGTTGGAGTCTCACTCTGTTGCCCAGACTGGAGTGCAGTGGCTGCTCCCGGCCACCACAGCCTCGACCTGCTGGGCTCCGGTGATCCTTCCGCCTCAACCTTCCACGTAGCTGGAACTACAGGTGCGCACTACCATGCCCGGCTAATTTTTTGATTTATTGTAGAGATGAGGTCTCGCCTGCCCAGGTGGGTCTCGAACCCACGGGCTCAAGCAATCCACTCACCTCAGCCTCCCAAAGGCGTGGGATTACAGGCTGAGTCACCGAGCCCGGCTGTATTACTATTCTCAAAATCACTGTATGTCAAATCTGAAGGATGACTGCTATATTTTTCTAAAATCTAAGAGTTTGGTTATAACTAAAACCCTTAATAAAAGAAATGAGTTAACTTGAAATTCTTTGTCTCTTACACAGAATACTTCAAACAAACTTACCTTGACACAAGCAGGCATCTCTGCAAGAGAGTGAATTCTGGATCAAGCAGTAGTTTCTTTACATCACTACAGACAGTAATCCAGGCAAAGATAAGATAAAAGTTTGAGTCAAACCATAAAGCAAGGAGATAAATCAATATACTCTTGAAATAAAAAATCACAGTCAAAGAGTGATGTTTAGAACTTACAAAAGGCAAGTTACTTTGCCATGACCCTGAAATTTAAAAAGTTTCAGAGGGCTAAGTGCACCAAGGCTTGGAGAAGCAGTGCCTGTCACCCACCACATGGGGCTGCAGAGTCTGATTTCAGCTTCCCAGCTTGTGTAACAGTTCAACTCAAATTTTGTTGAACAGTTGCCTAACTACTGGAACAAGAATGTCATTGTTGATAAAATCATTTTGCTAATCACCAGGAACAATTTATACTTTAAAGAAGATGGCATTAAAATTCATTTTGAAACTAATTCCAAAAGTAAAATATTTACGAAAGACAGGCTAGTGTTTTTACAAATTGACGTTTTTTAAATAGTCAAATATTCAATATTCATGAATCAGGGGGAAGACAGTCTTTAAATCTAGTTTCCCATTTAAACAGAAGTGTTAGCATCTGCATAAAAGAAACAATAACTATTTTGAATTTGCCATCAATAAAACATTCTAGTATACCTAATTTGTTAAGTATAATAATTATATATGACAGGTTCTAGATTACAACTCCTGTGGACTGTATTTTCCTCCTTCCTTTGCAAATTATTCCCAATACATCTTTTTAAATGCTCTTGGCTCTAGCAAACATATTAATATCTTGGTCAGAAGCATACACCCATAGCACCTGACATACAGAAACCACTGTAGAAGAGGCAGCAGAGACAGAGGAACCATCCTGTTGTGTGCCCTCCAGCATGAGGCTTTGCAGGGGATTTTTAGTGGAGGCAGGCAGAGCTACAAGATGCTCACACTCCAGTTTCCAAGCCTGCCCTGATGTGAACCCAGAGCAGTTGATACTTAAGAACTTGGTGAAGATAGGTGCTCTGTCACTATAATTACTAAATAAGCCCTTTTTCTACCCAACATATAATCTAAAGGGAAGCAAATCTCTGTATACACAATGGTCTCTCTTTGGGCTACTAATGTTTTCCAAAATATAACTTATTTTAATTTTTACAATTTAATATATTTTTCTTTCTCATATTATCTGATAGGAAAATGGAGTGCTTACTTAGACAATGAATTCAACTGCTCTTGAAGGAGACTCTTAATTTCTTCATTTTCTGGATAATCACTGCACAGAAAAGATTCTGATTAGTTCATTATCTTTTCACTTAAAATCATTTATTTTTCATCAGAAAAAAAGTTACAGAAAAAAAAGTTATAGTATAGAAATAACCTCCTTGTAGTCCTTAGTTAAAAACCTGGTTATAGACCAAAACAGTGACAATATACCTGGGACCCTACCAATCATCTTTAATGTCTGTTTTTATCTTATTGAGTTAAAAAACAAAGAAATGAATAAAGAAAGTCTCTTTGGCTTTCAAGAAAAAATTTATTAGCAGACTCTAAAAACTACTAGGTTTAAACTCCTTTTAATAAAGAACCTAGGAATGCCTAAAAGAATTTGCTCATTGTGCTCTGCAGAATGGACACTGGTTTCTCTGAGGACACTTCATGACACTGTTTTAAAATCCCCGCCCAACCTGTGTGCTGCACACGACAGAAGTTCAGTAACATCTGTGGATGTAATTAATTGCCACTAATAATAGTTTCTGTATTTTTTTGACAGTGAGGCAAACATTGAAATTTATAGAACATAATATATCCCTGAAGTAGGCTACTGATGCTGCTTCTAAAAAATGAGTCCAGCCTCACTGCCCTTTTCATATACATCTTTTCCCTCATGACATGCTCATGTTCAGACCCTAAGGCAACTGCATAGACATCTGAGTGCAAAACATGTACTCACAGCTCCTTACTGATCAGTGCTTTCACAGAGGTCCCACAGGGGTGCAAACAAGGCAGGGTGGCAATTTTTTAGTGTCTCTGCCCTCTCTTGGCTTTGCCTTAAGGTTTCATTCCCTTTAATGCTTGAGTATAGCCCATGACTGACTTTCATGGGCGTACTTGAACCCCAAGAAAATTAGGAAAGAAAAAAAAAAAATGAAAAAAACTTACACATATGAAATGTCCAAAGAATACTGTCCATTCCAAGGCTGGTGTAATAAGAAGGCTTTCAAGGCAAGGGAGGCTCTTGGAACAAGTAAGTATGGACACCACACCGGCTCTAGACAACAAAAAAGATTTTGTTTAATAAAATAAAGTTGTATACCACAATGAAGTTTTAGTTATAAAACATTTACAGTGAAGTCAGCAGAGAACAATGTATATATTAGGTTCAACTTGAGAGAGTATATTCAATGTAATCACTACTTAAAATACACTGGCTAAGTAAGAGTGAAGAGATGGCTGGGCTTGGTGGCTCAGTCTGTAGTCCCGCACTTTGGGAGGCCGGGGTGAGTGAATTGCCTGAGCCCGTGGGTTCGAGACCCGCCAGGGCAACTTGGCGAGACCCCATCTCTACAATAAATCAAAAAATTAGCTGGGCTCGGTGGCTCAGTCTGTAATCCCGCGCCTTTGGGAGGCTGAGGTAAGTGGATTGCCTGAGCCCGCAGGTTCGAGACCGCCTGGGCAGGTGAGACCTCATCTCTACAATAAATCAAAAAAAATTAGCCGGGTGTGGTAGCGTGCGCCTGTAGTTCCAGCTACTTGGAAGGCTGAAGCAGAAGGATTGCCGGAGCCCAGCAGGTCGAGGCTGTGGTCGCCGGGAGCAGCCACTGCACTCCAGTCTGGGTAACTGAGTGAGACTCCAACTCAAAAAAAAAAAAAAGAAAATTTATAAAATCTAAATAAACTTCAAGTATATCTGTTAAAAACTTGTCCTCTAAATTGAGAAAGCAGTTCTACTTATTTTACAATAAATGTAAAATACCCACTGGATTTTGAAGACTGAGAACTAAAAAAATATGTGAAATATCTCATTAGCTATTTTTAATACAGATTATATGTTGAATTAAAATTCTGGATATCAGCTTAATAAAATTTTAATTAAAATAAATTTCATCTGTTTCTTTTTACTTTTAAAAATGTGGATACTGGAAACTTTAAAGTCATATATGTGGTTCACATTATATTTGTATTGGACACCTCTGGTTTAGAAAACTTCATTCTAGGTAGTTAAATAAAAATTAAACCATATATAAAATATTTTATGTGGACTTTTCAAATAAGCCAGAAAGAGGTTGGAAATGTTTCTAATACTACTTTTTTTTACACCCAGGAATTTTAACATTGATTCAATAAAATCACTTAAAGTACAGTCCATATTCAAAAGTCCTCTAATTTTCCCCAAAATATCCTGAAGGCCGTATTCTCTTCAAAAAGTTCCTGACTACGTTGTTGAGTTTCTTTTGTCTAATCTCATCTGAACAGTCCACCCACTTTTTTGTTTTTGATTTTACAGATGTGTCCATTTTTGAAGCGTCTCGGTAAGTTGTTATGGAAAATGTCCTACATTCTAATCTGTCTGTTTTCTGAGGATCAGATTCGGGTTAATTATTTTTGGCGGAAGCTGATCACAGGATATATACTTTTCACTGTTTCCTATCAGAAGGAACATGTTAGCTGTCTGGTTACAGGAAACACCACATCTGATCATAATAAGGGAGTATAAACCAGAGCTCTCAATGTTCAGAGCACTGTCCCTCCTATAGTTAGTAAGTAACATGTGGGGAAGATACTGGCAGACTGAATTTCCTATGCTCAAACATGCTTTCACCCTGTGATATGACATTCACGAATGATCCTTACTTGAATCAACTGTTGCATCGGGGTTGCAAATTGGCAGTTTTCTAATTCTATCACACTTCCTGCATTGACCAACTGGCATTCTTCTGTACACCTGAGATTTCCCTTCTTGCTCATCTCCCCCCTTTCTCTCTTTCTATGACTATTGAATGATGGATGTCTTGGTATTCAAAAAAAAATCCATCACTTCCATCAATACAACCGTTATTCTTCATGATGCTCACACTGCCCTAGAATTGGCAGGGAACCCTTTCAAAATTGGCTTGTCTCCTTATGCCAGGTCCTCCTTGGATTTTGGCCTCAACTTGAGTTCTGGCCCCACAAGATGTCCCAGACCCATCTTACACCTCTTCTGTCTATGTCCTAAAATAAACTATTTGTCTAAGGAGACTTGGCTCCTTTTAGCCAGGTAGTGGAATCTATAAATCAAAATCTGGGTGCTAAGTGTGCTCACTGGCATTGTTCCTAGGCTCTTTCAGTGGACAGAGTCAGGAAATACATATTTTTTAAAAGTCATGAATTTTTACCAATTCAAATTCACCCCTGGAGTATTCTTCCTCACCACCCCCCGCTTACACATTTGTATCTCTCTTTTTCCTCAGCAGGGACCCTGGTTCTCCAAAACTGCAATCTGGTTACTAATTTGTTCCAGCTTATAACATGCATAGAACAGCTTCAGAATTACTAGTGCCACTGTCAACTAATCAAGAAAGGTTCAAAACTCCTTAGGAACTCTTTGTCCTTATAATATAAACCACTAAAAGCATACAGTGAGTGAGTGCACTGTGTTCAGTTATTTGAAATGTCTTTTGTGTTTGTATTGTTATGTTACCACTTTGTTATACAATTAGGTTCAACTACCTCCTGCACTCGATTTTAGGGTTTGTATTTTCTTTCATTCTTGTTCTCACTACATTTTTTGAATATGTAAAGCATATAAATGGTTCAAAAGTTGAAACTAAATTATAAAAATATATTCAGAGAAGTTTCACTCCTATCCCCATACTCCCCATTTTCCCTCTACATCCTATAACTACTCTTTTTTTCCTGTAAAGTAAGCAAACATTTCTGTGTGTGCATGCATATGTGTATAATATTCCCCCTTTCTACACAAGCAGACTAGATACATTCTTGCATTTTTCACTTACACATATCCTAGATATCATCCTGTATCAGTTCACAGAGCAATTCCTCATTCTGTTTTATAAAATGCACATGTTATTTCATTGTGCAGATGTCCCTAAATTCATTGAATTAGTCTATGGATAAGTAGTTAGGCTGATTCCAAAAGTTTCCTATGAATAACTTTGGTACATTTTGGTCACAAGTATGAATGAATGTACATTTTAAGATAAATTCTTAGCCGGGGGACTACAGGACAAAAAAGTAAATGCACATGTAGCTGTGTTAGATATTGCAAAATTCCCTCCTACAGGGATTTCATCATGAGCAATGTATGAGATGCTTGTTTTCTCACAGACTTCCTAACAGAGTATTATTTTCAAACCTTTGAACTGTCTTTAATCTGACAGAGTAAGAAACAGCTTCTTAGTGTAGTTTTAATTTATATTTTTCTAATTATTTATAAAGTTGAGAACCTTTTAATGTTCGCGAGTCATTTGTTTACCATCCCCTCCACTCCGTAGACAGTCTGTTTATGACTTGACTTGCAAATACTTTCTACCAGGTTAGCATTTGTATTTGATTTTGCTTATAGTTTCTTCTGCTTTGAAAAGTTTTTTGTTTCTTTTTTAAAAATTTCCATTTAGTCATCTTTTCTTTCATACCCAGGTTATAAAGGAAGGAACAAATCTGGTAAGAATGAGTTTTACCTAACTACCTACAGAACGACTAAAGCACTGGAAAGGATGAAGATGGTTAGCTTACTTAACTCTTTCTATTCATCACTTATAAACAACAATCTATGTAATTCTCAAATTTAAAGTCAGCCACTTTCACTTTTCGACAGAAGCAGTTGTTGGCATTAAGTTACAGGATGTTTGGAAGTGATAAAGGTCAGGGAAAAAATTAAGTTAAAGTCAGCCACTTTCACTTTTCGACAGTAGCAGTTGTTGGCATTAAGTTACAGGATGTTTGGAAGTGATAAAGGTCAGGGAAAAAATTAAAAATGATTACAATTAAACAAATTAAACTTGGAATGGTTCAAGGAGAGTTTCCATACTACATGGTAGTTTCTTAATTAATGGACAAGGAAAAGATATAAGACAATTCTCTTAGAAAGCAGCATGCAGGGTGTTTATGCAATGTGAGCAAGATAACTTTTACCAACTCTGTTTAAGTTGAGGGAAAAGTCTTATTTATAAAGAACATGTATTTGTCAATAGTATCTGAGTGAGATTGAACAAAGTTATTCTTACTATTTTCCACCCTCAAATGTATTTTAAACTTTCTTCTGAAGGGCAAAGATCAACCATGAAAAAATAATAGGTGATCATCTCACAGACGGAGAAACTCACCTACAAAAGCTCATTAACCTGGGGGAAAATAAACAATTAGAACAAAAAGGAGGTTAGCATCATTTCCACTCTCTCAGATTCTGCTCTGTCTGGGTTATAGCTAGCTGAGGTGTTAATTATACCCTCTGACAAATGAAGTGGCAGATAGGAAGGGTTCTCCAATTCAAAAACAAGGATTCAAATCTTCTAAATTTGTCTGGTTGTCCCTTCCCACTAGGCTGTTCTGAAAATACAGATAGGTGTGAATCAATATTTTATGAAGCTCTTCCTTATCAAGAGAACTGAAGAAAATATACGAAATACTGGAAACGCATATGACTTAGAATGATTTTATTTTCATCCCACATCACTAATCCCCAAATATACTACTAATTCCCAAGAACAGAAATATATCAAACTTTTCCTCCCAAGACCTAACTTGTCACATATCTGGAAGTAAACACATAGACATCTTTTTCCTAATTTCCCATTCACACAACCATCAGTTTTTATTACTTAACATTTATTGAGAGTTGTTGTGAGTTTACAGTTCAATTTGTGGAATATATGCACAATTTTACTGACCTTCCCTCATTACTATTTTACTTTTTTTCTTTTTCTGGCTGAGGCTATATCCCTAGAAATTGGAATGGAATGACTTTTTAAATATATATTAGGAAAATTTAAAAGGCAAAAGGCAATGTGAAATCTGGCTGGAGGCCAGATGTTGAAGTATGGTATTACACATGGGCTAACATGATCAACTCCATTTCTGTAGTCAGTTTAATTTAAGAATAAGCTACCTTCACTATGAAGCTTTTCAGATTCAATTTTTAAATCTAAAGTAAAAGAAAAGTCTTTCAAACATTTAGACTATAGTTCCACACTTATTTACACAGAACTGGTAACTAAATTAAATATATATATGTATATATATATACATCACCCTTGAAGTTTCCTGAATTTCCTTAAGAAATTTAGGTTTAAAAAGAATATCAGATTGGGCGTGGTAGCTCACACCAGTAATGCCAGCATTTTGGGAGGTGGAGACGAGAGGACTGCCTGAGCCCAGGGATTCGAGACCAGCCTGGGCAATATGGCAAGTCCTTGTCTCTACAAGAAATTAAAGAAAAAAAAAATTAGCTGGGCATAGTGGAGAGCCTCTGGTTCTAGCTACTTGGAAGGCTGAGGTGGAAGATCACCTGAGCTCAGCAGGTTGAGGCTGTGGTGGCCATGAGCATGCCACCGCACTCCAGCAGGGGCAACAGAGTGAGATTCTGACTCAAAAAAAACTTGTTTAACCTTCCCTGGAGGGAGATCCTGAAATTTCTGCCGAACTAGCAAATGATTCAAGGACAGAATTGGCAATACAGTTCTCGACTTCTGGTTTCACCTGATGGCAGTCACAGAGTAAGCAGTGGCAGTACCAAATATAGTGGGCAGGAGTAGGGCAGTGACAGAAACTAAAGCAGACCTTACATAAGTTCAAGGAAGCCCAGACGGCATCAACAAGCATGAACAAAAAGTAAAGGAGCAGGTTTTCAAAACCCTTCTGTCTCTGAAAGTGACTCTACAAAGGTTCAGACAATTCCCAGAACTGACTCAGTAAATGACTAAACAAGCCTCACGAAATTTTCTATAGGCCAGCCTGGAGTGTGCAATAGGAGAATACTCAGTGCAGAAAGTTCCTTGCTCTGCTCCAGTCAGGATCAGAATAACTGTCCCCCCTCCAAAAGTATCTTCCAAGGATGAACACTGCATTTTGTCAGCCCACAGTTGCCTTTTAAACTGATGGATGAATACATTCACAACCTTCCCATTCTAATTTTGAAAGCCACATAAGGATTCATTTTACTAAAATATTTTTTTCTGGTAAAAAAAAAAAAAATCACAAAAATCCAAAGCAAAAATAATCTCAAATCAACCATATAGAAATGGGCAAGATACTGGAATCACCTAAATTTGCTCTGACTAGCCATATAAGTCTTAGATTGGTGTCAAAATTCATGATACTCAGAAAGCTTTCCAAAGCTTTTCAATGATAAGTGGTTCCAAAAGATGTAAGGGTTGTTATCAAAAAGCTATCAGCTTTATCAGTAGACTGAGGTTCACTGATGAGTTCTCCTAAGTAAATTTTGAGTAAGCCACTTCTATGAATGTAAACATTTTGTTAACAAAATAGTGAAAAGGGTCAAAGAAGGGGCACTTATAAAACCTGAGTTGGCAATAATTGACACTTGTAGTTATAAAGAGTAAATCATCTTAGCAAGCAGTAAAAACACTCAAGCTTCAAGTGAATATATACATATTTTTAACTCAGATTCTAAGAAAATAAGACTGGCAAGAAACAGAAGCTGCTCTCTCCCTAGAAGATAGCCACTTGGGGCAAAGTAAAGTCAGGTTTCAAAGCCCCTTGTCATTAGAATTCCATACCGGTTAACTCTTGTTCATCCATTCTAAAGCAGGCAGACTTCATAGACATGTCTACAATTCTGATGCACCCATCATCTGATGCCAGGATCACTTTATCCGATGTACACCAGTCCACGTCCAATATCCGAAAGGTTACATTTCTTCCACTTCTTAAACTGCTCACCATCTGAACCTTCAAAAGTGAATTTGGGTGTCACTTTCAGACAGAAAAGGAAGATGTTTATCATTCCAGATTAAATGGTCAAGGAAGGCTGCCTATGACAAAAACCTAGTACAAAGTTTTGAATTAAATAGTCTTTGGCAATCTGTCTTACACATTCAACGGCGTTTTAAAGGTCTCAAAGACAGTGGTAATGTTAGAAAGTAATAACAAAATAAATCTGTTGAGCTGTCACCTTTAGAACAGAAATATTGTAAGCAAAAATTTTAAAAAGAAGAAAATAATTTGTTTTCAGAAACTTGACAAACCCATTAGGTATTTTTTATTTCTAATCAGGTAGGAGAAAAAAAAAAAAAAAAAAAGCACAATTCCCATGGCTTCATTTATATTTTATCCTCAGAGAGCTAGGCTTACCTCTTTACTGTCCCATACTTCAGCTCCATCATTGTACATTGCTATTAATTTTTGGTTTCCTTTACCAGGAGCAAAACGAATCTTCCTCACCCAACTTCGGTGTGTAGGTATTCCTCTGAGGACAAACAAACAAATAAACAAAAACACCAATATGATGCAGAGTAATAGCTAGTCACCAGAAACTACAAACAACATCTCTTACTATTCCTATTTCTGGTAGGGCTGACAATGGGGGAACCACTTTGCTTTCTGAGACAGGGTGCTGCATCTCACAGAAAGGACTTGCCCTTTATTGTCAGCTTGAATAACACCAGGGTTCTTCTGCATGAGCCACTTGCAGCCTAGGTACTCCTATGAATGACAGGAGAGCTTGGCTCAAGGCCTTCTTCCTAAGTTTAGATGGCAAAGGATCCAAGGGTTCAAGCTACACCTAACCAAGTTTACCAGTCATGCTTGCTAAGTCCGAAGCTGCCGGTGGAACTATATCAACGTATTACTTTTATTTTTAACTGAACAACAAGATTGTATTTTTGGCTCATACCTGGATACTCTGCCTTTCAAGTCCCAAAAATTTAAATTTCCATCCACATCTCCAAGCACTAACGTATCACCTTTCCAAGCAATACAGGTAATACTACCCATACTTCCCTAGAAAAAGTAGCAAAGCAGAGAAAGACTTTTTTAATGACCATGATAAAACAACAAAGATATTTTAATAAAACAATTATAATGGATTTTGCTAGTATAAATGCCATCAAATCTGAAAAGACTTCAGATACTAAAAGAGCTACATAACATATCAATTTCAACTGTGAAGAAATAGGAGATTTCAATTTGATAGACATTAAGTAGTCACCTGAGCTAGATTTATAAAGAAGGGATGTCTTTTGAGAAAGAAATGCCTTAGAAAAGAGAAAACTAAGTGAGAGAGAGAGAGAGAGAGAGAGAGAGAGAGAGAGAGAGAGAGAAGCCTTTCCAGAGAGCTGACTCAAACTTATCTCTTACTGCAAAAGAATAGCTAAACCCATTCCAAGGGTAACTCAAAGTTCTTTGTGCAGTAATTTTTTTATTGAAAAAAGGTTACAGAGCTTCATTGATACCTTCTGGAACATTCTAGAATAATGAAGGGGAAGAGATGCTATTTATTATATGCATGTACACAGTTTAAATTTACAGAAAGCACTGAATAGAAGTTACATATAGAAACACAAATATAAGAGTGAAATACTACTGCAATAAATCTAACTTAGAGGAAGAGAAGAACTGTGTGCAGTTCTAACAGATGCTCACAGGCAGTATCATAGAGAGCTTAGCAGCCTGGGATCTGGAGTCAGGTTGCCTGGGCTTGAATCTCAGCCTGATCACTTAAACTGGTGTGTGATTTGGGACATGTTTACCTAACCTTTCCAAGTCTTGGACTTATCGTCAATAATGTGAAGTTTGTGAAACTTGAGTTGTAATTAGTGTTAATAAACTTATAAAGACAAAGGTCGTAAAGCAGTGTCTGCCACATGATAAATAATCAATAATGTTAGCTAGGAAATAGTATTACTGATCAATTACTTCTCTATTTATTGAAAGACACCCTTGTTTTTTAAAGACAACTGGTTTTTGCATTTATGGTACAATATAAAATTTCAAATGGTATCAATAGTAAGAAGTAGGAAAACTCTAGTGGTTTGCAAACATGACCATTAATAGACTAGTATAGTACATACACCAAATCCTGCATAAATCCTTATGGTAATCAAGACACAAAGAAAAACTCAACTTAAAAATCAATATTATAATAAATTCAATAATAAAAAGCTTAGCTATAATACATAAATGAAATTCTGTATAATATGAAACCTTTGAGATTTCATTCCCATTTTCCTAATCCTACTAACAGAATGTTTAATTAGGAATCTGCCTTTACTTAAACTTCTGAAAGTAGGTCATAAAAGATACTGCAGCTTCCCTCTTGCTCTCTCAGATCACTGGATGGAGGGATGCCAACTGTTATGCTGTGAGGACACTCATGCGGCCTTACGGAGAGATTCACATGAGAAAGAACTGAGGCCTCTTACCAACAGCCAGCAATTAATTAGCAATAGCCATCTGAGTGGGCCATCTTGGAGGTGGATCTTCCTGCCCCATTTAACTTCAAACTTATTGGCAATAACCAATATCTTGACAGCAACCTTCTGAGACCCCAAGCTACCTATGGAACATGGGGATTGGTAATCTACTAGAACATTCCATTTCTAGTAGGTGGCAATGTTAAATAAATATACATGTTTTACAAAATCTCCTCCTGCCTCCATTTCACCATTATAGTAGTCTGTATTAATTAACAAAAACATTTTGTAACCTGTATATTAAAAATAACCTGTGAGATGTATGCTGACACAAATGATTAGCTGCAAAACCTTAGTTACAGTTTCCACAAGGCCATAAAAGGATATATATTTGATAGTAAAGATTAACACTATTACACTTACAACCTGATTACTATTATTCACAAATAATACAAAGATTGTAAGTCAAATCCTTCAGAGTAATGACTAACATGGAAAGAGGATAGATACTGACAGACAGACGTGAGTTTAAAACACTGTTTTATAACATAACTAAGCTGGGTGACACGAGAAAGTTATTCCCCTTCAGTATCCCTCCAGGTAAAATGGAGAGAATTCTTCATGGATCATGTTGGGGTTAACAATGAGTAGTACATGGTAAATATTTAATCAAAATAGTTATGTTATTCTCTAGTAATATGGACAAGTTTAATTGATAACAACAAATTCTTAGATAGTAAAGTTTACTGACATCAAACTTTTCTGACAAAGTTTTCCAACTCAGCTATGCCTTCATTAGGCATAGAACCAAACAAATATTTGATAAGAACTCTTGATGAAGATTTCGTCAAAGGTTAAACTCACATCTGGTGGAATTCGAGCACTGTCTTTCACTGAGTTTCCTTCAACAGTGAGATGATAAACTTGGCCATCAATATCAGTAAAAACAAAATGTTCCCGGGCAGAAATGTTCTGACTGAGTTCAGATTTACTTTCTGCCTCCTGCAACAAGCTTTGAGAATAGAGAAAAATAAGATAAAGATATTTATTTTCCCTAGAGTGATACCCATAATTAACTAACTTGCCCACAGTACAGATGCATTAACAGGAAGTACAAAACTATTAAAAAAAAAAATCTGAAACGAATCTTTGCCCAGCTAATAACAGGAAAACATAAATCCCTTCCAAATAGTCATGCTGTAGGAGGAAATTTACCCTGTACAGAGGAAAATGGTGATCTAAATGTAATACAAGAAAAAGAAACTTAGCTGTTTTTGCTGTAGAACTCTCCTCAACAGAAGAGAGGCTATAAATCAACCCACTGTTACCTGTGAAGCTTTCTATACGTAAAATGGGTATGGATGGGAACGGTACATAAACTTAGAATTCCCACTACGTCTTCTTTGATGTGCACAAATGATCATATGATTTATCTGTATGTCTATTCTTCATTAATTTGAACTTCAGAAGCTGAAGTGTATGGAATGGGCACCATGACTGATCAGATTCGCTAAAAAATGCTGATGGGTAGATATTACTACGTATATTGTTGAGTATGCTAAACAACAGAGTACAATAATAAAATTAACTTTTCAGTAACCTGGGTATGTACTAAAATATGAAACTAAGTATTTTCAAAAGCAGACTACAGCTTGCTGTCACAAATACCTTCAGATGACACCTGTTAAGTTCCCAGATATGAAGCTAATGTTACGAATGACAATGGCAAGAAACACTGTACTGTACCTGATCACAGATGACTCAACAACACTCAGCTCTGTGTCTGAGACTACAGTCTGGCGGGCCATGGCCTCTCGAGTAGCAAGTTGCTTCTTTCTCAGGCTCTTCAAATTGTGAGATGGTGACCACTCCTGTGAAGCAAAGACAGACTTCCAGAATAGCTTATTCACTATTGCCTAGCATTACTTATTATTACTGCACATGAATCCACAATCTGTTCTTTAGATTTTTACATATTTGTAGAAAGGCTTAATGAATGCATTGTAATTAGACCTTAAGGTACAAAAGCATAATGGCAAACTTCCAAAAGGTCTTTTGATGCTCTTTATTTTTTAAACAAAATGAAAATAATGAATTCAATTATAGTATCTCTTATTTCCCCCCACACCCGACCCCCCACTCCTTATATGCACAGGGTGAGATAATCATATTCCTCCAAACAGGGCCCTTTATCCTCCATAGGTCTACCCAAAACCACTCATTTTATTTATACGTTCTTTTATATCCCTCCTATTCTAAAGCCATAATCCCATATCCTCTAATGTGTAAGCTCTAACATGTAGTTATTCCACATGTATATATTTCTAACTTATATACTTAGTACTGTATTTATATATCTCATTCTGTTTTTTTACTCTTTTTCACTATTTTAAAAGTATTTAAATTCTATCCCTGCTATGTAACACTCCAGAAACTGGTGCATAGATCAATTTTTAATCTATTTTCTCATTCAAAAACATCCAGATTGCCTCCAAACTCCCATGATGACAAACAATCCTACAGTCACTAGTCTTGAAAAGGCTCCTTTATGACCAAGAATTCTACAGACACATAGCATGCCTATGTTTGGCTAAGTACTGCCAGCTCACACTTCAGAATGGAAGCATGGGTCTGCAGTCCTACCAGCAGTGCACAAGGATTTCTATTTCCACCAAGCTTTGATATTCTATGACCTTCCAACTTTTTGTTAGTCTAAAAGGCATATCCAGCCGGGCTCAGTGGCTCAGCCTGTAATCTCGTGCCTTGGGAGGCTGAGGTGAGTGGATTGCCTGAGCCCGCGGGTTCGAGACCCGCCTGGGCAACTTGGTGAGACTTCATCTCTACAATAAATCAAAAAATCAGCTGGGCACGATAGCATGCGCCTGTAATTCCAGCTACTTGGAAGGCTGAGGCAGAAGGATCGACGGAGCCTCAGCAGGTCGAGGCTGCAGTGGCCAGGAGCGGCCACTGCACTCCAGTGGTTGACAGAGTGAGACTCCAACTCAAAAATAAATAAATAAATAAATAAAAGGCGTATCCACACCATGGTTTGGACATCTCTGAAAACTGATGAGTTTGAACATTTATTTATAATTTTTTTTGCCTTTTAGGTTTCTCTACCATTCATTAACTCTTTACATATTTTGTCCCTTTTTCTATTGGGGTTTCTGTTTTTTCGGTGCAGACATATAGGAGTTTCTTATTAATTTTAGACATTGGAAAATTTGTTTTCTCAAACTGTTCTCTGTATTTAACTCTGACAATGGCATCCTCCTTGAAACAAAAAGTACTGATCTCGATTAATTCATCATTAAATATTTTTTGCCTTTTGGTTGGGTTTCTGATGTTCTCTTCTGTCCCCAAGTCATAAAAATATCCTTCTGTATTTTGTTAGAATACATTTTATAGCTTTACTTTTTCACATTTAGGTCTTTAATCCTGTGGAACTCACTTCTATATATGATATTAGATAGAGATCCAGTGTTTTTCTCCACAAAGAGACAGTTTTCCCAATACTGTCTATTAAGCAGTCTATCCTTCCCCTTTGTGTACTGATTTGTGGGTTACTTTATTGTACAGTAAGTTCCCAGGTTTTCATGGGCCTGTTTCTGAGGACTTTATTATGTTGGCCCATTTCCTGTTCTTGTGCCAACATGACACTGCTTTTATTTCCATGATTCTGTAATATGTACTAATATCAGGTAGGGTGGGTCCCAACAACACATGCATCTCCCATATTTACTACTGTTTTTTCAAGGATGTCTTAGCTATTTAGGACCTTTATTCTCTCATAACACTTTAGAATATGTTTATTGTGTTCCTCAAATTAGTCAAATCAAATTGGAATTGGAATTGCACTAATGTAATATTAGGTTGACCCATCCAAGAAAATTAGAGTTATCTCCATTTATTTAGATAATCTTTGCTGAACACAGATTTTTTTTTTTTTTCCTGAGTTGGAGTCTCACTCTGTCGCCCAGACTGGAGTGCAGTGGCTGCTCCCAGTCACCGCAGCCTCGACCTGCTGGGCTCCAGCAATTCTTACACCTCAGCCTTCCAAGTAGCTGGAATTACAGGCATGTGCTACCACGCTCGACTGATTTTTTTGATTTATTGTAGAGATGAGGTCTCGCTGCCCAGGCGGGTCTCAAACCCGCGGGCTCAGGCAATCCACTCACCTCAGCCTCCCAAAGGTGCAGGATTACAGGCTGAGCCACCGAGCCCGACTTGAACACACATGTTTAACAAGAAAATACCAGCACTTTGGGAAGCCAAGGCAAGAGGATTGCCTAAGCTCAGGGGTTCGAGATCAGCCTAAGCAACATGGGGAAACCTCATCTCTATAATAAATCAAAAAATTAGCCAGGTGTGGCAGCGCACTCCCATAGTTCCAGCTACTTGGAAGGCTGAAACTGAAGGATCACCTAAGCCCAGTAAGTCAAGGCTGTGGTGATTATGAACACGCCACTGCACTCCAGCCTGGGTGACAGAGTAAGACTCTGACGCAAAAAAAAAAAAAAAAAAAAAAAAGAAAATACATGGTAATGATTATTTCAATTCAAGCTAAAGAAAATATTTACCACATACATACATACCTACATAAATTATTTAATTCTTAACTATAACTTACCAAAGCAGTTATTGTAGGGAAGTTTTTAGACATTTCTCTAAGAAGCATACAAGTCCTAACATCCCATAACTCCAGGGGTTTATCTCTGAATACAACTGCCAAATACTGCCTAAAATAAACAAAATTACTAAATAAGCCCCTTTGTGCAAAGATTTCACCAAGTATTAGTATAAATTAAAAGTTCAGTGAATTGGACAACTCAGATGACACATTCTAAACATAGACTATTTAAATGAACATTTAGCCTTCACAATTTCATAAGAAAGTTAAGCTCTAAGATGACCTTTGCGAGTATATATAGTCTCACACAATTAGGCAAAGAGTCTAGCTCAGAAATGAATTGGATTCAAATCCTGGTGCCACAACTTACATTGACCCTCCTGAGGCTCAATTTCCCATATATGAGATGATAATACCTCAACAGATTGATATGCAGTTTGTAGCAAAAATTAAATCAAAAGGTATGTAAAGTTTCTATTATCCTAGCACAATATGTATTCAAAAATTCCACTTCACTCACTTTCTGTTAAGCCCGGAAGGAGTACTGAATGGTGTCAACAAATGCAACTCAACAAATGTGTTGAGCTCTGATTACCTATTAACTGCTGTAAGAAACTAAAATATTATCAAAAAATGATGGCTGATATCAAAGAAATGTTGAAGAGTTTGTGCCACTTGATAATTATGTAGCTTCAGATAAGCCATGCAACCCTTTTGAGTTTTATTCTACTTATATTTAAAATGGTGATAATACCCACCACATCATCTTCTCAAAATGCTGCAAGTGTTTTTTCCTAATAGCATACATGAAATAATTTTATAAACCATGATGGATTATACAAATACAGGTTATATCTAATATAAAGACATATATAAATAACATAAGACAGAATGTGACAAATGCTATAAAGATTCATTGTGAACAAGCAGAGTAATTTTGACAGAAAAATAGCATTCCAAGCACAGTTATAAATACGATAAATGACAATGCCAGAAAAGGACACTGCATTTAAAAATATGCTACCTGAAATATAAAGCATGTGAGAGCAATCATGAGAAAAATGACTAAAATGTGAATTTTGGAATATATTAGACCTTATATTCCATGATAGGCTAGGTAGGGTTTATTCTGCAGAGAATAGTGTAATTACTGAAGGTTTTGAAGTAGGGAATAATGTGATCAGTTGTTTTAGATTTATTAATTTGGCAGGCATGTGTAGAATCTGACTGGAAACAGAAAAGACTGGAGTCCCAACAATGTGACCAATTCTCAAACTCTAGTCTCAAGACTCTTTTACATTCTTAAAAATTATCGAGAATCTACAAGAAGATTTGTTTATGCAAGTTATAGCAATTGATATTTTGCATATTAAAAATTAAACCTAACACATTAAAATATTTTTATGAATTCATTTACAATTTAAAAAAATTTAAAGATGGTAGATCTAAGCATAAGTCATACTGATAATTACATGAAATATGTATAATTTAAATACTGCAACTAGAAGGTCAAGATTGTCAGAACAAACAGAAAAACCCCATTATATGCTATTTACAATAAACCAATTTTAAATATAAAGACACGAATAGGTTACAGGTAAAAGAATGGAGAAATATATATCATGCAAGCATTAATCAAAAGAAAGCGGAAGAGGCTATAGAAATATCAGACAAATCAGACTTACTTCTGAACAAAGAGTAGTACCAGAACTTAACAATCCTAAATATACCTAATAACAGAGCTTCAAAATACCCAAAGCAAGAACCTGAGTTCTGCAAATGAGCAATAAATAAATGTGAAATTAAAGCTAGCAATTTAAACACTCATTACTCAGTAGTTGGTAGAAGCGGGCAAAAAAATCAGTAAGAATAGTGAAGACCTGAATAATAGTATCAACCAACTTGAGCTAACATTTACAGACTATTCTAATCAACAGCAGAATAAACATTTTCAAGTGTACATGAAACATTCATTAAGATAAAATGTATTCTGAACTATAATAACACATCGAATTAAACTTTAAGAGACTGAAATAATATAAAATATGCTCTCTGACTCCAACAGAAGCTAGAAATTAACAGAAAGACATTTGAAAAAGCACCCCAAATACCTATTAAAGAAAATACCTATGAATAATAACCCATAGACATTTAAAAATATTATGAAGTGAATAAAAATGAAAACATACCATATCAAAAATTGTAGGGTGTATAAAAAGTGGTGTTTATATAGCATCACATGCTTATTTAAATTTTAGAAAGCTACCATAAATCAATTATCTACATTTCTATTTTAAAAAACTAGAAAAAGAAAAGAACATTAAAAAGCAAACAGAAGAAAAAAAAGACGAGAATGGCAGTCAGTAAAACAGTAAATATAAAAATCATAAAGATTAAAAAATAGTTTCTTTGAAAAGATCAATAAAATTGACATAACATACTGATATCAGGAATGAGAGATATCATTCAGATAACAGAGGCATGAGGATTATAAAAGACTATCATGAACCAGTTTATAACAATACATTTATAAATTTAGTAACTGCAATGAAATGGACAGACTATTTGAAAGACATTAATTAGCAAAGATTAAACAAACAAACAAACAAAGAATCTATATGGGCTCTGTATAAATGAAATAAACAGAATTTGTACTTAACTTTTCCACCCCACAAAATTCTAGGCCCAGATGGGGTCTCTGGTATATTTTACCTAGTTAAGGAAGAAATAATATACAAACTCATCCAGAAAAAGTAGAGGGGGGAATACCTGATAAGACATTCTGCAAGGTCATCACTCCTTGATATCAAAACCAGATAAGGATATTGCATGAAAACTAGATCAACATACTTCATGAGCATAAGATATAGAAACCCCTAGTCATACATTAGTAAATCAAATCTAGCTATATATCAAAACAGTAATATACCATGCGCAGCCAGAGTTTATTCCAGGAATGTCAAATTGGTTTAATATCCGAAACATCAATTAATAAAACTCACCACATTAGCAGACTTAAAAAAATACACATATAATCATGCCAATAAATGCAAAAGAAAGTATTTGACACATTTAACACCTACTCATGATACAAAGTTTCAGCAAACTAGGAATAGAGAACTTGAAACCTGACAAAGGTGATCTACAAAAACTCTACAGCTGACATTATACTTAATACTGAAAGACAATGCTTTCTCCTTAAGATCCAGGACCAGAGCAAAGATGTCAGTCCTTACCAATTCTAATCAACATGGTATTGTAGGCCTACTTAGTGCAGCAAAGCAAGAAATAAAAGGTCTACATATTGGAAGGAAAGACATAAAATTGTCTTCATCGGCAAATAAAATTGTATATAGAAAGAATCCTAAGGAATCAATAAACACACCTATACTAGAAATAATGATTAAGTTTAGAATGGTCACAGGTATACGGTCAACATAAAAAAATTAATTGTTATTTCAGTAGACTAGTAATAAGCCACTGAAAATTGAAAGTTTTACAATGTAATTTAAGATAATATAAGAGAAAATACAAAAAATAAGAGACATATGAAATATAAAACGTAAACACTGAAAACTATAACATACTGCTGAAATTCAAGACTTAAACAAGTGGAGAGATATGTCACGTTCATGATTTGTAAAACTTGTTATCAATTCTCCACACTGATTTACTGATTCAATGCAATTGCAACCAAAATCTCAAGAAGACTCAGCCTGTAATCCCGCGCCTTTGGGAGGCTGAGGTGAGTGGATTGCCTGAGCCCGCAGGTTCAAGACCCGCCTGGCGAGACCTCATCTCTACAATAAATCAAAAATCAGCTGGGTGTGGTAGCGTGTGCCTCTAGTTCCAGCTACTTGGAAGGCTGAGGCAGAAGGATCGCTGGAGCAGGTCGAGGCTGAAGTGGCCGGGAGCGGCCACTGCACTCCAGTCTGGGCAACAGGGTGAGACTCCAATTCCAAAAAAAAAAAAACCTCAAGAAGATTTTTTTGGAAAAACTGCCCAGCTGATTCTAAAATTTAGATGGATGCAAAGATCCTAGAAAAGCCAAAACAATTTTGAGATCTATTTTAGAAAGTTTACTCCTTCTTTGTTTTTTGATTGATTTTCATTCTGTTTCTATTTGTAATAATCCTGCTTTACATGTATTTTCCCTTGAAGCAAAAAAAAAAAAAAAAAAAAAAAAACTAAAAAAATTACTGAAAGTAAAATTGGTCTAAATTGTAAAGAAAGAAAAGGAGCACTTTCTCTAACTCCATGCTTACATGGAAGTGCATTAGAATTTCATCAGAAAACAAGAAACAATTCATGTAAAAGTACCTCATCTTCTTAGATGTGGAGATTTAAAAGTGATAGCTACTCAATTTTGTGATCAAGATATTTTCTTTGGGCTGTAAACTACTATTTGCTATCAGGAAAAAAATTCTATATGCATTCTGGCATATTCCCGTTTTCTTAAAGATTAAAAAGGCCCATGATATTTTACTATGATAGAGGGTTTTTTTAGGTTGACACTTACTTCAAATGAGATACTTTAATCATTTCGATGGGTGATTCATCATTGCCTCGTTCGCCGCGAAAAGCAATGCTCCTACCTTTAATTGTAAATATTAAAGAAAATGTAAAACAGCACATACAACATGTAAGAAACAGGAAGCCATACCAATGTAATTTGATCAAGTCAACCCTCCCTCCATCCTCACATTCATTCTTCATTTGCTTCTAAGCAATGGAATCTAATAAATTTTTAAAAAATCTAAAAAATGTTACACATTAATGAGCAATAATATACTACTTATATTCAAGGTATTTTCATTTGCTACGCAGTTTCTTGAATTCTTAATTCAATTTTAGAAATTTAGAAAAACCAATTTCTGAAGTTTTAAGGCACCTATGCTAAAGGAAATGTTCAGTATAAAAACTACTTGAGTATTTAAAGTAATATAAACATTCCCATGTTTCCAAATGCTAACTAGTGAGAGAAACTCTTAAACATGTATTGAAGATTTTTTTGTCCCATGTGCAAAATAGCAGCTAAAATATTTTAAATACGTTTCTACTGAAGTGTTTCTATAAATTGAAAATAGAGGACAACTTAAGTGTTCATGTATACTGAACAAGAATTAGTTAACTACCAAAATAAGCTAAATGATATTCTGTGAATAAAAAAGTATAAATTCCATGTTTTTGCTATTGTGAATAGTGAGACAACAAACATGCATGTGCAGGTGTCTGTTCTGTAGAACAATTTTGTGTTCTTCCAGGTATATTCCCAGAGGGGGTATTGCTGGATCGTATGAAAGGTCAATTTCTAGCTCCCTTAGATATCACCACACTGTTTTCCACAGAGAATGGACTAGTTTACACTCCCAACAACAGTGTAGAAGGGTCTCCTTTTCTCTGCACCTGTGGCAGCATCAGTTGTTTTTGACTTATTAATGATCATTTATCACAATAGCACAAGGAAGGGATTGGCAGTAACAGAATAATACTACCAGGGAAGTGAGAATCAGGTGGAGGCCTGAACTTCACCTGCACGTAGACTACGTATGTGCCTAAATCCTGACTTGTAACCCACATCTTTATAATAAAGTAAAAAAAGAAAAAAAAGTTGAATTCTACCTTATGTCTGAATATATTTTAGTATCTTTTCTTAGATTTTTATTTGCATTAAACAAAACAGAGAACACACTCAATTTAAAGACAACTGAATGCCTAAATGCCTCTCTGCCCTTCAATGTCATCAAATGGAATCATGGAATCTCACTGTGGTCACTATTATTATGTATCAAACAGCCCATGTCCTTTCCTGAAACTGCTACTCTTTTGCCCTCCTTAAAAGATAAGGCTATATACAAAAGTCTGTAATCTATGAAGTCAAACATCCCACTTAAGAAAGTCAGTCAGTAATTATTACCACAAACATTTGTTCCTAAACAATAAATCTGTGAAGATGCATTTTAAGTTATCTAACAGTCTTGAATTTGAGCTGACTGAAAAAGATGAACAGGGATTTTTAGGTGAATGATACTAGAGAACAGCATTTCATCCCTAGGATACTATATCACTAAGAAGAGAGCAATGTCAGTCTGTTGGCAAAAGTAGAAATCTGAAGATGAGGGTCACTGGGCAGGTAATTTCCAATGAGATGAGAGCAACACTGTCCTAAAAATGGGGCTGATCCCTTGAGGTTACGTAATATACTCTGATAAGTAAGAACAACTGTTATGGAGAATATAAGAAAGCAACCATATACTTCACTTACTTATAACCATGTACTTGATTTACAATCATTTACTTGATTTATTTTATACAAACACACATATACATACACACACACACACATATATATATAAATTCATCTACATACATTCATATTGCTATATCATTTCAAAGAAATTCATCACTATTTTGTTAAAAAATCTTTCTGAAATGATTGAGTGTACTATAAAATAGTTTGAAACTTTTGCCTTATATTTTCAAGTTCTTGATTTTTAAATTCATTGGGTATAGGTTTTTAACAATTCTGAACAAGTTATTTTACTGAAATGTTTTTTCTATTGTAAAGTTTTCAAACTCCCAAATTAAGTTTCCCTACTCAGTCAGCCAGGCTCTCAAAAATGTTAAATTTGAGCATTTAGAAACAATCCCTAACCTATCAATTTTCTAAGGGTTTCCTACAAAAACCAAAAATTTAAACAGAGAATCTCATAAAGTCTAAATAAAAAAAGTTATCTTAAAATTGATCTTTTGGTTATATATAACAATGCTCTTAAAAGTAGCTTGGTATCCTAATTTTTGATGACTCTGTAAAGGCTAATGGCCCTCCATTTTACCACTTATTTGTGTAAACACAATTTTCATGTAAACAACAATGAAATCTTTGTAAGGCAATTATTATAAAAGAAAAGGCTAAGCACAGAAATATAAATACTAGGAAAAACTCCAAGGTGAAAAAAGTACTTTGGAACAAGTTTTATAAATAGCAATGTCTTTGATTAATATGACAAACCACTCTGAATCTTTAAAAACAAACCTGTTGGAAGATCAACCAGCTGAAGTTCATTTCTCACTAATCCCATATTGTTTGGTGTTGAGGTAGCAAAAGAAAGAAAGCCAGTCAAACTTGTCCATTCAATACCCCTATAATGAAAAATTAAGCAAAGATTAAACTAATGCTCTTTTTTTTAATTTGAAAAACTAATTTTAAAAATAAGTTTATCTAAGACCCAAATCTTATTACGCAAGTTAATTAAGATATAATATGACCTATTATCGTAAAGTGATTTTTTATTTGAGACTATATTACTATACCTTTCTAAGATATATAAAATTATTTTTAATTTATCTCCAAATGTTAGGACAAGAGAGCTTACTTATCAGTAAACATTCACAGAGACATTAAAATGATGATTAAAATCCGGTCAGGGAGAGTCATATTACAGGAGTTTCCAAGAATCCAACTGTTTAAAAAGAAGCGATATAGAAAAACTCAGAACAGAATGCTTAAAGTTGGGTACACTTAAAAATTTTATCAAAATTCCTAGTTGGTTAGGCAGCAGAAATTCCTGAAACAAAAAGTGTAAACTGAGTTGTTAGATCTAGAAGTGGCTGAAAGTTCCAAATGGTGTGTCAATCAGAGAAAAGAACAATCTCAAAGAGAAAGATATGCATGACAGTCCAGCAACCTATAACCCTAAAGTCCTGGGAGTTTCGTTTATATGGTACTGATAGGACGTGATTACACATTTTCCCCACTAACAGCTAGACAGTGTACACTATCACAATTTGCAGAGAATGGAATAAGGAAGGGGGCCACTGGGACAACAAGCCAACTTGTAAGAGTCATGAGAAGCACTTTCATTGCTTACAAGATAATAAAGCCTCGTTGGAAGGGAAGTCCAAACCTCTCATCTATATGTAGTTACTCAACAGCATTTATGGGACTGCCATTAAAACAATATATATATCATCTATGGCAGCTTTCATAATACAATCACAGAGATCAGTAGTTGTGATAGAGGTTTTCTGGGCTAAAATTCTAAGCCTAAAATATTAATTATCTGGCTCTTTACAGAAAATATTTTTAACACATTTCTCAATTGTACAAGAGGGTAAAATGGCTTGCTGTATTATATCCAAATTCCTTTATTCCAAAGGATTGCCTCATTCTACCTAACCAAGCTTACCTTGCAATCACCTGAACCTGATCTGCTATTTTAATTCTAGTAACCAGCCTCATAGATACCAGAGTACCCACTTGTCTTTTTCAGAGGGCCAAGCTAGTCCAAAGAGAACTAAACAAAATTTGCAGCAGCAGGAAATTTCTAGAGTTGTCAATATTTATAATTCTTTAAACATGAAGTTGCACTATAGTATTCAGATTAGGATGCTTGAAACAGAACCTTTGAAAACTTCATGCCAAGAATGACTTCTCTCATTTCCTCTTCAAGTACCATCAGAGTTCAAGTCCTGGCTCCAGCACTTAATAGCCCTGTGCTCTTTGCACCTCAATTCCCTCAGTTCCTGTTGCTCAGGAATAATAATCCTGAGTGCATGAAGAAGACTTGGCACACAAGCACTATTATGGATTGGCAATCAGCATCAGCATCATTATTACTTTCATTTCAAGATCTAGCTCATGTCCTGCTTTCTTCATGAGGCCTTCTCATTTTCTAAACTCAAATGATACCCACAGTGAATCCTATATAATTTGGTCAATTAGCCACTGGAAAAGTCCCTTTGACTCTTGTTTCTTTCCTTTTTCCCCTAACAGTAACAGAAATCATTAGTTTTTCTACTTAGAGTGAACAAAAGAAGAGAGGAATCATTTTGTACATATTCTGCTCTCTATATGTCTGACAACTTCCTTCAGATCTGTTTGTCCATGGAAAACCTAAGACTAACCCTCCAAGTCTTCCTCCTACTAATTAGAATGCACCGGTATAGTGATGCCACTATATCTGGACTGTAGGAATTTCAACCCTCCCATTCCTCATTCACTATTTTTAAAAACATATCTGTTAAACACCCAGTAGATTCTAGTGACTGTGCTAGGCACTAGGGATGCTGTTGTGGATATGACAGATGTAACTGCTATCATTCTGGAGCTTACAATCCAGCAGAAAAGAGATACTATACAAGAACATTGTGTATTATCTTTTATAAAAGAAAGTGCTGCAATGTTCAACATGACACTGAAAGAGTTGCACAATCTAGTCTCAGAAGCCAGGCAGGATTTCCTGGAGAACTGTTAAAGTTCAGATTTAAAGGAAAATAGGGCTTTAATCTAAGCCTGATTGACTGAGGAAATATGTGATTAGCTGAGAAACACTGTGTTCTCTTTGAAGGAAGGCACCATGTCAAGCCTCTCCAGGTGCATGATAGATACTCAGGAAATTTTGACAGATTAATGAATAATGTTCAAGAAAAACCTAGCACTCCTTCTTATGTTTATTAGGGTCATGCATATTCAGAGAAGTGCTTTCTCTGGTATTTACAAGATGTCTCAGCATACAGGCTATAACAGAAAATGGGGTAGCTGTTTATTTGTAATTTAGAAGTATGAGCATGTTGCCTTTGAACATATTACAGCAACAGCTTCTATATTCAATTCCTACTTTTAAAAAATCAAGTTGGATTTCAAAGTGGATTACATAAAGAGATTATTTCTCAGAAGAATGAAAACTTATCAAACACAGCTGAGTGCCACATTGCCCTCAGCATTAGAACAATATATAGGTTAACTGCACACTGAGGGCTATATAAAAACTAACAAAAAGAGCAGCTCATTTTCTAACTCAGTCTAGGTTTTTTGTTTGTTTTGGGGGGTTTGTTTGGTAAGATTCCCAACTTTTGACCAATTGTAAGCTTAGAATCTATCAGCAGATATTTGGGGTTTTGACTCCTACAGGTTCCCAAGCTGGGCCTGTTGACCATCTCTTAGGATTGCTACAGTGGCTACTTCTCAACACTGGGTGACTAGGGGGAGCACACACTTTCCAAAAGGCCTATAAATTCTAAGATTCTCCTGCAAATTTACAGACAAACAAAACAGAGATCAATTTTACTTTCCACAAACCACTCAATTTACTCAAAGCAATAATGAGTTAATCAATGTTCTGATATACATATATGATAGCTATAATTATTTTTGATATTCAAAATAGTACTGGGCTATATTACATTGAGCCTCCCTAATCTAAAAATTCAAAATATGAAATGCTCTAAAATCCAAAGTTTTTTGAGTGCCAACATGACAATTACGCTTTCAGATGATCCAATGTAAAAAACTTAGTTTTATATACACAAAATTGTTAAAAATATTGTATAAGCCGGGCATGTTGGCTCAGCCTGTAATCCCAGCACTCTGGGAGGCCGAGGTGAGAGGATTGCTGAGTTCAGGGGTTTGAGACCAGCCTGGGCAACTTAGTGAGACCTCATCTTTACAGTAAATCACAAAAACTAGCCAGGTATGGTGGCGTGTGTCAGTAGTTCCAGCTACTTGGAAGGCTGAGGCAGAAGGATTACCTAAGTCCAGCAAGTTGAGGCTGCAGTGGTCATGAGTGTGCCACTGCACTCTAGCCTGGGTGACAAGAGTGAGACTCCAACTCAAAAAATAAAATAAAATAAAAAAAAACAACAACAAAAAACTGTATAAACTTACCTTCAGGCTGTATGTATGAAGCGTATATAAAACATAAGTAAGTTTCATGTTTAGACTTGGATCCTATCCTCAAGATACCTCATTGTGTATATAAAAATATTCTACAATTCAAAATTTGAAACACTTCTGTTCATATTTTGCATAAGGGATACTCAAGCTGTACTGGAAACTCAACCTACTGGACAAAGACACAAACTAATAATCTATAATAATGTACATATAGCTCACTAGGTATCTTCCATTGGATAATAAAAGTTTGTCTGTTTATGAGCACACAGAAGATATTCAACAGATATTTGTAAAGCATCCCTGGTTAAAGCATGCATTCAATCATTCATTCATTTACTTAGAGTTTCACTCTGTTGCCCAGATCCACCACAAAGTCCAGCTAATTTTTTGATTTATGTGCAGAGACAAGGTCTTGCCAAGTTGCCCAGGGTGGTCTCAAACCCCTGGGCTCAGGCAATCCTCTCACCTCTGTCACCCAAAGGGCTGGGATTACAGGTATGAGCCACCACAACTAGCCAGCATCATGCTTTTAAAAAACATATACACATGCAACTGTCTGCGGTTATGCAATTTCCGGACATGTATATGCACAACTCTCAAGTACTTAAGATGACGTAATTTTTAAAAACACTTTCAGTACAAGCAAAAAAAAAAAAAAACCTTCTAAAAGCCTTCATTTGCATATGAAGATCTAGGATGCACCGGGTTTACTGTTAATAAGTTCAGAAAATTTTAAAACATATTTGTGAAATTTTCATAATGGCTTTTAATTTTAATACTAAAATTGTATTAGTTGAAATACAATGACAGCAGAATTTTGGTGTCCTCCTGGGTAGTATTTCCAAGTATGAAACGGCGGTTAAGAGGGAAAATTCATATAAAAAATGAAGTATCTTTCTATGATCATTCAAAACACTAGTCTCTCTGAATAGCATATTCCTTAGTTATCTGATATCCCAAGCAATTCTTTATCATCAATATCAGTGTTACTCGACCATGAATATCATCCTAGCATGTATAAATCATAAGTGTATAAGTGACATCTATAACCCGAATGAATCAAGATAACAAACATTATTACAAACTAATATATCACTGATCAATTAGCTATTAAAGATTAAGTGTTCAGGAAAAAAGGGGCAATATAAAAAAATGGCAATATGTTTGATTTTCTGGAAGCACATGTCTTAGCATGAATCCTGGCTCACCCAACGTTTTTATTTTACTGCCAACATTATTTCTATTAATCTTTGTGCTTTTTTTAAAGCTGGAGATCTAGCACATGTACTGTAAGTCAAGAACTCAGGCTCTGAAGCTTGAAAGACCTAGACTGAATTCCATCTACCTCTTTTACAGATTACCCTGTAATTCTCAGTTTCTTCCTCTGTAAATTGGAAATATAGTGTCTATCCCATGGGATTGTAGTAGGGATTCAGTGAAATGATTCAAGTACTAAACATAATCCTTAGAACAAGCACTGGTTAAATTGAGAGTTTTAACTGGTAAGCGTTACCCACAAAAACACCATAATCAAAAGGCAAGGGTGAAAGGAAACATCAAGAGAAGAAATGCAGACAGGAAAAAAAGAAAGAGAGAAGTGGCAGCAGAGACTATTAAAAGAAGTGTTAGCATGGCAAATTGTAGCTACTGCAACAGAACAGAAGAGGAGAAAAGATGAATAGCCTGCGAGAGTCCACACAGATACCTATGTCACTGCACCTAAAAAGTTCAAAGCATCTGAAGACATTGCTATACATGTAAATATATTGAGGAGATACTGTAGCATCAGGTGGCAATCAACAGTCATTGTTTTGTGGCTGTACCACAAAACAATGCACTTGAAAGAACAAAGAAATATAAAGTTTTCAAAGATGATCATCACAATCAGAAGTTGTGATACTTAAAGTGCTAACCTGTCTCCATTCAGAAAACGCTGTTACTCAAAATAATGTGCTAAGGGTTTACTATGAATTATTTCTTTCTTTATTATTTTTTAAAAATTATATGTATTTTTTATATTAACATTGTGGGGTACAGTTAACGGTTAGGTATACAAATATGTATTTTAATGGATAGACAAGACCTACAATTATGTCACATACAGAAAACAAAAATGGCCTTTCTTATACTTTCATTAAAATATCATCAAAATACACTGAAAATTTATATTATATATGTGTAACTAATCTATCACTGATAGGGTAAAAAAGAAAAATTGCATTGCCTTCAGCAAAATAATGCTAAGGGGTAGGTGATATGCACTTGAAACAGAAAGCAGCAGGTGTTCTTCTGCCAACTTAACTCCCTCAGACATCATTATGAGTAAACAGACTCACAAATAGATCACATCTCAAAATCAAAGAATAAATGCTTTACAGTTTTGGTGCTTTTCTGATGGTGTTTAAAAAGAAATAAAAAAGACTAACTGACAATTAAACTGACTTTATTCAAATCTGTCAAGAGCAGTCCCACTGATCTTCACAGAAATGAAAAATAAATGAAATAAACCTAAATGAAGCAACACAGGAATTTCCAGTGTGAAAACAGCATGGACTTTAGAATAAATAAATAAGACATAGCAATAGAAGAGGTACAAACTCTCCACTGGTTATATCCAAACACTTAGTTTTCATCCTTGATTAACACAGCCATTAGTTAGACAGGAACCTTATTCTAACTTGTCAGTCAAATAATCGTCACTGCAGAGTACACTATGTAAAAAAGTCTAAGATAACTTTTTTCTGATATTATGTATGTTTGTGATCTCAACATCAAAATGATACACTCACTTGACTTCACATGAGTGGATGCTTAACTCCTTGTGTAGCAGACCACTGGTGAGATGGTACACCAGGATAGAACCATTACCTGTACCTATCAAAATGACAATACAGCAAAACAGAATAATATTAATTTAGTGGGAATTTCAGATCTTTTCAACAAAAGTCTTTACTCAATATTTTAATCATTTAACATTTATCTTTTATAAAAGGGACCTAAGCTAGGTGCTAAGAGAAAAAACGGAATGAATTATCAAAAATGGGCCTAATCTCATGTGCTCAAAAATCTTGTGTAACTCCAGAGACACATTTTCACAGAAAGATTTTAATATCTAAGTAAATACACATACAATTTGAAGAAACACTTTCCTAAGCTTTTGTACACATGAGCATTTAAACTCTTTGAGATTTAGAAGGTGTATTATGGCCAGTCCTCAAAAAGGCAATCTAGCAGAGCTCATTAACCAGGTTGTCTATTTTTCTTTACAAAGTTTTTGTTTTTGTTTTATCTCTTATATTAAATAACCTGACAAGATAGTAAAATATAATGGTTAACTGTAGTTTCTACAATTAAAGAAAGAGTCTGTGCTCAAGCCCTGCCTCTCCCCTATACTTGTGGACAAATTACTTGTCCACACAAAATTTGTGTTTCTACGTCTTTAAAATGGGAAGAGTAGAAAATCTATTCATTAGAGATTAAATGAGAAAACATGTAAAGTGTTTAGCATAGTACTTAAAACAAAGTAAGCACTTGGTTAACTTTTAAAAATTTGTTATATCACTATAGTTAACAGTATGTAGTGATTATTCCTAAAGCTTTTCATTGCTTCATGTAGTATGCCTAGAGTTTAAATAGAAGGGACATGAACGTGCTTGAGAAAGCAAAGCTTTAGCCTCTAAAATGCTTTTATAAGTTAAGCAATAAATGTGAATAGTCTAATTATTTGGACAATCACTTAATCACTGCACATGATTTTAAAAGATTAATGAATTCATAAAAAGCAATGGGAATGGAAGCAAAAATGGTAGGCAAATTTCAATTTTACCTTACTTGCTGAATAAAGCTCCTGAAATCTTTTGCAAAACTATTTTAGAAAAACACATCATACAGTTGATTTACATTTGTTATCTATTCCATAGTAATAATTTCTTTTACTGAGAATGTTGCTAAACAATTACTAAAAGTTTTCAGTTAATACATCGGCATGATAATCAAATGATTGTTATAGTCTTCACGTTTCAATGATGCCAAACTTATAATTTGGCACCACAAGAAGTAATTCCATAGTTGAACCCTACTTATTTTCCCTAGTGACACTGCAAACCTTTACACACTTACATTTTTTATTCCTTATTACACTAAGTTCAGTAAATTATGATATTCACTATACACTAATGCAATACCTTATTCCACAATGGAAATCTCTGACCTTGACATAGCTCTTATTATATAGCTAGCTGTACCAAGAAGTAATTTTCCCCAAGAAATTAACAAAATCCTAATTGACACAGGTATACTGACATTATACATACATGCACATACTAAGTATAGTGATGTATCCTAATTAAAATCTCTATTAGAGGTTAAATAGCAATAGTTTCTAAAGCAAAAATTAAACATTATCCACATTATATAAAATTGGACACGTACACAGACTACTGAATCTTAGAATTCAAATCACTTTCAGAAGATAGCACAGGAAAAAAAACAGGAAAGGAGCACTGCCAAATAGCAATACCCAAATGAGTCTTCAGTACTGACAAGTGAGCCACTAAGCTGACACATGTAGGCCACAAAATAAATGTGGTCAGGTATTCATTTATGGAAGAAACAAAAAAAGTCACATATCATATGTTTATAGACTTATAGAGAAAGCCAGAAGTCAACCAATAGCAGCTTAAGAAATGTTGACTGTCTCAAACAAATCACCAGCAACTGTACTTTGCCCTGATTTGTAATAAAAATAACAAACACATTAACTATAGTGTATGCAAGTTGAAACGCAGACATTTTTATCTATAATAAAAAATATGTAATTTCAAACCAAAAGGCAAACCTTAGTTTATATGAACCACAGCCACTGTAAACAATATTACATATCACAGTTCTTGGCAAATAAAGAATGCTGCTATTGTTAATCTATTAACTGACTATAATTTTAGTTAACAAAGAACCAATACAAAATTACATGACAGAAAGACTGGGGTAATCCAGTCAAAGACAAGGAGTCTGGGATTAAGCATCACACAGGGATTAGCCTCCCAATAACTCAGAAATGTACTGATAGTGTTAGAGACTCAATTGTCAGTCTCAGGTGGATGAGTTATCTGTAATTGAAAATAAGACAGTTGGAGTAAAGTGACAGAAAAAAAAAGTCTCAGGATTGAGTATTCAAATAGTTTTACTTACCCTCTAACTCCTTTTAAAGCATCCTCAAAGAGAATAAAAGACTTTCTAGAAACCAGAAAATATAAATGTCTTAGAAGAAAGTGATTTTAAAAAATACCAGGTCAAATACTCACCAACAGCAAGCAATGGTTGATACATTTTGATGTTTTTTGTAGTCAGTGGGGGGCACATACGAATAGCAAACTGTGGTGAGGGCAGTCCTGAAAGCAGTCCTGTTAGCAGAAATTTGAGGTGCACTTCCTGCAGAATGGAGCCTTTAGGATGATCTTCACCAGCAACTGCACTCTGTCCTGATTTGTAATAAAAATAACAAATATGTTAACTATAATGTATGTTGATCTGAAAAATCTAAAGAAAATTGTCAGTGGAAATGCTCTTGGGGTCTAGATACAAAGATACTGCTCTAGGGGCTGTAGCTATTAGGGACACAGTGGCTCTGTACTTGGCTGTGGGACTTAACGTTGGCTAACGCCTTAAAGGACACATTACTCCAGAGAATTACTTCCAAAATGTAGGGACCTATGTCCTCTAAGAAACACTGCTTCAGCCAAAGTTTCTGGTATTAAGGCACTAAACAGAGGCTTCAGAACAAATCAAGAGAACTTGTGTTACACAAAGGCTACCATGGAGTAGGATGCCATGCTGCATTTTCATCTAACTGCCTTTTTAGAGGGTTACTTTTCAATCTGATGGATTTTGTAAACTGCATGTGAAATTGGTATTCACAAAAAAATAGGTTCAAAGAACTTCTAATAAGAAAACTTAATGTATCCGTGTAATAACAAAATTGAAGTTTATAATTCAATATTTTATATGTAAATATATAAAATAAATATAAATATATATTAATAAATCATATGAATAATATATAAACTGTTACTGTCGATCATTAAGTCTTAAATGGCATTATTTTCAGATGTACCATTCACACTTAGGTTATCAAGTCTCAAACTAGAAAGATAATGACTCCGTTTAAAGTCAATCTAAAAGAATGTGAATATAAAGAGTACAACAGGCTGGGCACGGTGGCTCACGCCTATATTCCCAGCACTTCAGGAGGCCAGGGTGAGAGGACTGCCTGAGCCTACAGGTTCAAGACCAGCCTGGGCAACTTGGTGAGACCTCATCTATACAATAAATCAAAAAATTAGCCAGGCATGGTGGCACGCGCCTATAGTTTCAGCTACTTAGAAAGCTGAGGCGGAAGGGTCGCCTGACCCCTGGTGGCCATTAGCGTGCCATTGCACTGCAGCCTGGGCAACAGAGTGAGAGACTCCAACTCAAAAAAAAAAAAAAAAGAGTACAACAAAATCAAGACTGTTCTCTAAAGAGGGTTTGCATATATCCTTCCTGTAAGACATTATTGAATATTGGGATTAACTTGCCAAAAATACATAATATAGAATGTGTGTGAAAATGCATATATGTCTACATACACATATACAAACACGTATATACTGTGAAGGGAAAAATGTAAATAATTACTAAGAGTATGTGACAGGGCTATGAATATAACCTACTGAAGCTGTAAATACTAATTTTATTTTTATAGCCATACAATATTTAAAATGGTCAATTAGATCCAATTAAAATGATACCTTAAGGTTAGCCAAACAATAAAAATCTCTCTTCTTAACTTTGATAACAAAAGATAGAATATGAAGGAATGAAAAGTTCACAGGTAACTATCACATATACAAACACTTTCGACTTGGAATTCACCCTAGAAACCACCACATTATTCTTCAAGTATTTTTCGTAAGAGGCAATTCATAAGGTAGAACAGATTCAGCCTTAATAAGCATCAGTGTTTAGCCAGTGAATATAAATCAGCCTCTGTATTCAACTTAACTGCTTTCAATTATCACTAAGTACACAGTGAATTTCAAATTAATAGTTTAATTAAAAGCTTTAATTTAAATATTTCCAAGAGCAAAGATGTATTTAACACTGTAAATTCAACTACTACTGTCAAAAACTGCTATACAAGCTGCATCCTTTTGCCTCTTAAACACTATCATATATATCACTTAGATATCTAAACAGCATCAAATTTCAGCCTCCTACGGGCTTCATATTACTGATTAATTTTGCTCCTGCATATATGTGTGTGTGTGTGTGTGTGTGTGTGTGTGTGTGTGTGTGTGTGTGTGTGTGTGTTTATAATTCTTTTCACTTTAGTATCTCATTAAGAACAGACAAGGTCAATTAACTCAAGAAATTGTGTCACTGATAAAGTGAATTTTTCATGAAGTATGTGTCAAGATTTCCTATGTGGATTTACAGGTGAAATAGATAGTGAAGAGAAAGAATTCTATAGGTTAATGTCATTGAGCAAAAAGATTTTATAATTGGCAGGAATCACGACAAAACCGAATTCTAGAGGAGAGTCAGGTCTTCCCGAGATGACAGTGGAGGCACCAGGACTGGAGGCCACTGCTAAGGAGCAGACTCTGGAGCCAGGATTACTGGGATCACATTTTGGCTCTTCCACTGTGTGGCTGGGTTTGGGGCACATTTTTGAATCTCTCTGGGCCTCAGTTCTCATTCGTATTAAATGAAGATAGTATTACCTTACAGAGTCTTCGTGAGGTAGTATGTAGAGTGTTTAACAGAGCATTTAACATAGTAGTAAGCAGGTGAGGTGATTCATAGAGGATTTAACACAACACTTCATATGGTATTAAGCACTTGAGAAATGTGATCTAATTAGTATGATTAATAAGGTAATGCCTTCCTAGTATATTACCTGTCTAGTATTTTAACAAAAAAATGATCAAATAATTTCCATTTTCAATTACATTATGGAAGAATAATTAATAATAGAAAAAATTATTTATAAACTACAGTCACAATTTTAAAAGAATGAAATGCAACATTGCTTGGTCTATTTACAAAGTGTTGCCACTTCAAGTCTTTCAATTTACATAAAACTTGAAATCACAAATCCTCATTTTGCCTTTAATAATAGTCCCATCATAACTAAGTAACTTGGAATATTTTAATCTACAAATAAGTATCTATCTATCTATCTATCTATCTATCTATCTATCTATCTATCTATCTATCTATCTATCTATGTATCTATCTATTTAGAGTTGAGTCTCACTCTGTTACCCAGGCTGGAGGGCAGTGGCATGCTCTCGGCCACTGCAGCCTTGACCTTCTGGCCTCCTGTGATCCTTCTGCCTCAGCGTTCCAAGTAGCCAGAACTACAGGCGCACAAAGTATTTATTGAAAGTAAAAATCCTCATTATGAAAATAAGAAAATTCATGTCAAAAAGTTTAAACAATTGTTTCTAACATTGTTCAGTTACTTTCTTCAATAAATATTTACTACAAATCTAGACTGCACAAGGCCCTGTGCTGAGTCCTGAAGAACACAAAATTGAATCAAACACTGTCCCATCCTTTTAGAGCTTATAATTTACTGGATGAAAAACAAGTAAAACTGTAATTATCATACAACTGGTAACTATTGGGGACCACAAAAGAAGGATCATTGAAATCAGATTTGAGAGAGTAAAGAAAGCAACTCTTGAGGTGAATTTAGAATCAGGGGTAGAAGAGAGAGAAAAGCAGCACTTCATCCCAACCTGAGGAACCAGCAAACATGAAGGCCATGAGAAGGCATGGTATAGCTCAGTTAGGGCTATAGATCCAAAATCCAGATGCCTGACATTCTTTCATTTAGATCAGAGTCTCTCTTATAAATGAATCTTTTCTATTTCCAACAACCACTATGCAAATATATGCAACTTCAGGCCCTTTTATGCTTAAATATTTCATACCCTTCTGATGTATTTAGGGAAGAATGCTTCTATGTTGCAGTTTTCTCAAGCATTAACTCTAACTTTATAATAATTTCAAGTCAGAGACTCCATTAATTTTGCCCTTCATAAAGAATACCTAACACAAGAGTTAGAGGGGGAAAAAAAAACTTACCAATCATGTTGTCTAAGGAAAGGTCTGGGAGTTTATTCTGTAGCACTCCTACAGGAATTCCACAGAAAGACACTGGTGAATATAAAGGTGACACACCAGAACTACTGCAAAGACATAATAATCAGAACATTTACATATTTAAAACTTGCATTACATATCAGGAATTCAAATGAATAATTACACATCATGGCGTTCTATTTCTTTTATGTTATTTATTAATCTTACCCATAGGTGAAATAGCTCCAGCAAGTGTACATAACTCCCTAATAATCTAAAGCCTTAATTGTCACCTTAAATATTTCTACAGAAAAACGGCCCTGCTATTTTTATATGATTCTGATAGTTAAAACAAACCAAAAAACAAAAAAGAACAGAAAGCAAAACAAAACAAAACAACACAGTCCTGTCAATTCATTTACCTACTCCGTGAATTTCGAGTACAAAGAGAGGACTTGAGCTCCCATATCATGATTCTGCCATCGCTCACTATGAGGGCAGCCGCATTCTCATTGACAGGACAGCACACCACACTGAAGGGACGAACGGTTTTTGTCACCCTGATTGCATCACACTGGCTTCGTAAATCATAGGTAAGCTCCTGAACGGGATCTGGATCTTAACATAAAAATTGTTTTCTTTTAAGTGCCAGAGAGCAACCATACCTATATCACTACTATTTATTTCAATTTAAATGAAAACCCAACTGAAAAGGATGTTACTCCTTTACTAATGCAAAATTTATATTGTGATTACTACTGAATTTCTTCAGAATATAAAAATAATTCACTTAATGACTGTATATACCAAGTTTAACCTCCAAAATAACAACTATGATCAAGATATCTTGTTTCTCAATATTTTTAAAGTTAAGGAAATGCTTTGAAACCTAATCAACAGTGATTAAGTAGCACAAACATTTTCATCATAATTTACAGTAGACTATAATAAACCTGAAAATAAGAGGCATAAAAAAAGTATAAGACAGTGAGTAATTAATCCCTTGATATTGTAACAGTGCATTTTTGCAAACCACACTTTACAAAAGACATGAGAATCACTCTTACTGTTACATAGAACATCCTTTCACAGAAACATCATTTCTATTCTCTAAGATAAGCCTGCACTGACCACGGAGTGCCTTGGTCACTTTACAATGGAAGGTCCTAAAACAGAGAAGTCTTGGAGGTTCAATAATAAAAGCATACAAGGTTGGTCTTGTACTGAAGAAAAATTCACAAAAGTTCTACCTGGCTCATAGATACGATCAAAAAGGAATTAAAAAACATTACTCTTTATTGTATATAGGAAGTGCACTGTTATAATATCAAGGGATTAATCACTCACTGTCTTATACTTTTTTATGCCTCTTATTGTAACCTTATTCTAACACTTTCTCAAGGCAAAGATTATCATTAACTCTAAGTCTTGACTGGTATTTGCCACATGAAGCTTTATGAAATAATTTTTTTCTTTCATCAAAGTAAATTTTATTGTGTATATTTGAGGTTTACAACAGATGTTATAGGATACATAGATAGTAAGATGGTTATTATTGTGAAGTAAATTAACATAGCCGTCATTTCACATAGTTACTGTTTTGCTGACAATAGTAGCTAAAAATCTACTTATTTAACAAAACTCTCTGATATGGTACTACTGTATTAACTTTAGTCCTCATATGGTACATTAAATCTCTAAATGTGTTCATCTTAAGGTTCTCAATTGAGCAGAAAGTAAGAAAAAAGTTAAAAAGCAGTAAAAAAAACCCTACCAACTTTGGAATCAGAAACACATGGGCTTGAGTCCTAGTACCTCTATTTTGACAGTTCTTACCTTCCCTAGGCCTAGGTTTTCTCATGTTCAAAATAGGAGTGATAATATCTCACATGACTCTTATAGTCATGATGTTTAGTGGGCTAGCATAGGTAAGGTGATTAACATAGTCTGGTACTTAGAAGGCATTTGATTGGTTATCTACAGTTAATATGATAGTAGGAAAATGCATCAATATCTGCTTTTAGACTGTATTCTATAGAAGTTTTTGTTTACCTATTTTTTGGTGCTAATTTCAAAATATCTTTTTGCTAGTAGATTAAGAAACACAGCTTTTGAGTCATGACCCACTTTATGTCTGGAAGAAGGCTGGGCTTCTTTTAATGGATGCAAGGTCAGACACTTGGATCCTCATCTTTCTTTATATAGTAAACACATTGATATTCTCAGAACATAATCATTTTGCAAATTGTACAGACAGATGCATTCAGATGACACAGACTGTTCCCTCTTGGGTAGCTTTCAGTCGGACATGGCTTAATACTTGTTGTTATATGCAGGCTCTTGAACAATAATGTGTAGAGACTTCCCCATATTTTGAAGAAAAATACAATGAACACTATCATGATACAAAAACTCACCTGGTTCCTCATTTGAAGTGATGAAAGTGCTATTATAAGATCTTCGAACACGTAAGGTTATACAACCATTTTCATGTAGACAAAATAAACCATCACGCTGAAAGCACGGTATTACCTTTAAATAGATAATATATTGATTTTTAAAAACACAATAAATTAGTAAGGCATATACTGTGAAACTCAAACTCTTATTTGGCTAATATAAGAAAAAAAAAGATAAACAAAAAAACATAAATCCCCAAACTTTAAAAATAAATGAACATCTAAAATATCCATTGAAAATCCTTTAAAAAAATGTGTCGTTAACCATGTACCTTACATAATTCAGTAAATATCTCAGGATCACAATTTCTAGATAAATGAAACCAATCAAATGTGCAGAAAAATATTTACAAAGCATCGTTAATCTTTAATAAATAGAAAAGAAAAAGTAGAACTAAGAACTTTTACAAGATTATGGTCTTTTGGAATGTAAAACTCATAATAACTTTTGGGAATATAATTTATAAATTGTGGATACCTGCAAAAATGGAACTCCTGTGCGCTCTATTGCGACCACTCCCACTGTTTGATTCACCTCAAGGTCAAGGATTAAAATTTCTCGAGGATATAGTAACAACATATGATTCCTTTTAGAAGGCAGATATGCCAACTGAAGACAATCATTGAGAGCTACAAATTCAGCACTGAAAAGGTAATCATTTACTTTAGCCATCAAGAAATTAGTCAAAGTTTTCATTCACATCAAAAGAGCTCATACAAGATTTAATTATGTACTTTTCATATAAAAATTGTTAATGAGAATGCACTTCTTTTCTTTCCTAAAATGACCAACACAGCCAAAACTTAGACTTCTGCTATGTGACAAAATCCGAACTATGATATTATAAAATTGTATAGGGTAGGCAGAAATGTGTTTCTAAATTTCTGAAATTTGTAAAGCAGTAGAACATTATGTCTATACTATGAGATGGTAAGTGACATTACAATATCTGGCATGCATACAATAGTTTTATTTTATTTTTACTTTGTAATTACAAGTACTAGACAAATGGCCAAAATCAAAACTCAGAATTAAAACATAAACACTTAGGGCAATTAGGGCCACAGAACCAGGAGTTATTGAAGTATCTGCCTGACCTTGGGCATGTCATTTTCCCTTCTCTGCCTTGATTCACTTTTAAGTTGTCTTAAATCTTTTTTTGGAACAAAATAGGGTATTTTATTCACTTGAATCACAGCATTTTCTTCTGTATAAATAAAACTGATTCAACTAGGGAAATATAAAAAGACTACTAAAGAGTTTCAAAAACCATTTTAGTAATTTGCGATTAGATATATTTAATATCAATCTTCTCTATATGAAATGCATTTTAGTAGGAACAGACATAATTATGTACTATTTTCTTTTTCAATAATAATTTTACTGAAAAATTTTGAAATTTAGAATAAAGTTAGTTGACAGGAGTAGGAAGAGACCGGTATTTTTGTTGCACTAAAATCCTAACTCTAACATTTCTTAGTTGGATGAGCTGAAATACTTTCATTGAAAATGGTGTGACTCGGTTTTTCTCATCTGTAAAATGGTCAAAGTCCTGCTGCCCATATCTGTAGTAGGATTTCATAAATTAATGAATGTGAAAGCACCCAGAGCCATTCTACCTGAAAGGACAAATAATGTATTTCCTCAATATTGAAGATGTATAAATAATTCATATGAGAGAAAACTTAAGAGATATAAATCATAACTTATGAAACTACTCAGACTGATAAATAATTACTTGCTGATGACAGGGAATATACAAAAAATAGGAAGTTCTCTTAAGATACTTACGTAGCGATCTTAAATTATTTTAACACAGATTGGGGGATAAATCATTATTGCACTTAACTAGCCTGTGATTTAATTATAAAAATGATCATACAAATTCAAAATGTATTTTAGAGCAATTTGTATTTTACCATATATCTTTTTTTTTTTTAAAAAGTGAAGGATGTAGTTTAATGATGTGGATGTTCTTAACATTTATCCTTAGCAGTAAAAATGTGCCACTTGTATAATGTATGATATATATAATAGAGGTATATGTATAATTTTCATGAGAATGCGTTACAAACTCAAAAATTACTTTCATCACAAATAATTCAAAAGTCATTATGTCTCAGAAAACCATTTCCATATGAATAACACTGAAATCAACTCATAAAATCTTGTTTATATTTATTAAAAGAAAAATAACTATGTTTTTTAACCTTCAAATAAATTTGTGCTATTTGCTATAGTGTACCTGAAATAAATATGAGCTGATGATTCCTTAGGGGTAGAAATTGCTATCTTTAAAGTAGCTACCCATGAAGTCTAGAAAGAATACTCTTAGCAAGAAGCTGTCTTAAAACAAATGTCAAAAAACCTGCCTAAGTGGTGATATACAGATCACAGCTCTAGAAAAAAGACAGAAATCTACTTCTAATACACAAAATTAGTTACTTAAAATAAAATCCTATTCAGTGCAATATCAGTTAGCATCTTCTAAATGAATGCTTACTAAGTATCAACCACTACATTACTTACGTTATTATATCTACTTAACTTTACAACAACACCATGAAATCCTTTAAAACTCTATTTTAGGCCGGGCTCGGTAGCTCAGCCTGTAATCCCAGCACTTTGAGTGGCCAAGGTGAGTGGATTTCCCGAGCCGCGGGATTGAGACTCACCCGGGCCACTTGGCAAGCCCTTATCTCTACAATAAATCAAAAATTAGCCGGGCGTAGTAGCACACACCTGTAGTTCCAGCTACTTGGAAGGCTGAGGCAGAAGAATCGCTGAAGCCCAGCAAGTCGAGGCTGTGGTAGCCAGGAGCATGCCACTGCACTCCAGCCGGGGCCACAGAGTGAGACTACAACTCAAACAACAACAACAACAAAAAAACACTCTATTTTAGAGACCGAGAGAGTGAAATTTCAACAAGATTAAAGAATGGTCTCTAAGTCACATAACTACATCTTTCCCCAGAACCTTGGCTCTTAACCAGGATGGGAAACCCACCTACATAAGAAAAAAAGAAAAATACCCATTTTACTGGCTAATGAGACTGCACAGCACCAAAGACAGGAAATACATATTTTTAAAAAACCCAGCATTTTTGCCCCAATTTTTAATGTATTAAATAACTCCAAACTCTAGAATCATTTTATACTTTCAGAAGTAAAATAAAAATGGAAAAATTTCAATCTGTAAAAATCAGTGGGGAAGTTTAGCACAATTAGAGAAAATAAAGAAACCACATTAAATGCTGAATCTCTGCTTAGGGAAGACAGTTAAATGAGTATTTTTTCCTCTAATAAATTCAAAATAAGAAATGAGAAAATGTGAGATAAAGAAAAACATCCATCTTAGTACATTTCTAAAAATCATACTTTCAAATCTGATTAAGTAGAAGAATGCTGTTAGTTTTATGCTTGTAACTTACCTAGGTTTCTCTTGAGTGATTAAAATTTTTACTTTATTAAGAGCCTTCTTGGCACCTGTGGCTGCAGCCAGCTTGTTATGAGCTGGGCTGGAGTGTGGGCTGGATATGTAAACTTTTTTCCCAGGGCCTGAGGGAGGCTTGGATGGAGAGAAGTCTGAGATGAAAACAATACCCTCGCTGGTGAGTACTATATTGAGAAAAAAAGTATTCTGATTAAAGTTTAATCGAGTTGAGCATAGAGTTTTATTCCAGCAAATTTTGAAAGCAATATAATGATAATTTTCACAATACAGAACTAGCAATGTTATACAGTCATAACACCATGGGGATGTTCTTCAAGTTGATGTGAAACAGGCGGTCTGTTACAATTAGTCAGAGCCCTCCAAGCTCAGCATTATATTAAAAAGATACCAGAATGTTATTGGCAGAAAGGACAGATGTTAGTCCTTTCAAATAAGTCCAGTGCACAGACTTTCATTAAACATCTTTCCTCATTACATCCCATCACTTTAAATCCAAACACTTTTCAGAATGTAAGATTCATACAAGAAGAAAAAATCCCATATTTAAGAGGCTCTGCTACCACAATTAGCTAGGTTCAAACATTTGATCTGATATCAATTTTTTTATGATTACTATGAGCTACTCAGTATTTCCTTTTATTTCTCGAGCATCAGACAGAACCTTAGGATGAGTCAAGAATGTTTTCTTTCTACTAATATTTAGATTTTTTAAAAAGTAGGGTGCCCACAGTGGCTTACTAAGTGTACATGAAACGAAAATGTTCAAGGAGCAAGAACCACATTTAGCAATACGTTATGCCATTTTCATGACTCAAAAGTAATCTCCTTCAACACTGGGGATGACTAATACTGAATATATGAACAGAAAAACCTTTTTTACCCTGGGTCCCAGCAGTCAGTGAGGCTGCTTTAAGCACAGGGAACAAAGAAGCATTTGGAAGTTATGACAACTTTAGCACATTCAATACACCTAAATCAAAGATGTTAAGTCAACTGACACTTTGAAATATATAGTGCTTTCACTACCCAAACTACTAAGATGTAAACAGCTGCTACAATCAAGTTAGCTTAAAGCCCCATCTCCTTTTTAGGTTCTAGAACTCAACCGTCAAGGTCCCCTTGCTTCCCTTCTTTTATGAAGCCTTACTTTCCTGCCTCTGCCAGCTGAACCAGCTCTCCTAGGTGTTCCCCCAGCACTGCATTTAGTGTGCAAACTGATACTCAAGTAAGTGTACTTGCATTTCCATGCCCATGCTCATATACAAACATACACACAAAAGCCTAAAAACACCGCATTGTATTTAGGTAGTCCATTTCCCACTTTAATTTTACTTGTCTGCCTTTCTCATTCCCCTTCAACACATGCAGAAACACACACACCTCTCTAGAAATGTTGATGGGTAAAAGTTAGAATTTTGTGTTATTCACATCCAGGGAAAACATTTTTAACCACAGCTAATTCCCTCACCTCCTTCACATTTCTGATCACTGTCAAAATGAAGCCTCCTCCGATCACTTTATCTAATACAACTTGCCCACCTCACCCCTATTCCCCTCCATCCCCTCTATCCTGTTTTACTTACCTATTACTGCTGACTATCCTAGAATTTAATAATTCATTCTGTTCAGAGTTTTTGATCTACCTGACTCCCTTCATTAGAATACAAACTCTGTGAAGACAGGAACCCTTGTTTTGATCCCCAGAACAGTAGCAATAGCTCAAGAAATACCTGTAGCATGACTGAATATTTTCTTAATACTTTAGTCACAAAAGTATCTAAAATAAATCTTATCTCTAGATCATCAGCTCAGTACAACCCCAAAAACACATTGGCAAAAACCATCTTTACAATAAAAAATTCCCTTAGACTTCTGTTCTTCATATGCATCTGTCTATAGCAAGAATTAGAATTTTTTTTTTAAGGAAATTAAATTGGTCACAGCCTAAATGAAACCCTTGATTCAAGTTATTTACATGTTCCTAGAAAACAAAATTAATTAGGTCTGAATTCAAATATCCAAGTAACTCTGTCCCTGGCTAATCTAATACTAATCACAAATTCTACACAGTGAAGGGGTAGCTTGCTGATTTACGTTTCTATCACAATACTTGCAAATGATATGGGGTTTTGACTTAGCATATGTATTAGCAGCTACAAATATATAAACTAGATGTGCCTCCTCATTTCATTCAGTCACTTTAACATAGATGTACGGTGCATATGTGTATATCTCATGTATGAAGCATTACTATCTTATAAATACCTCACTTAACTCATTTTCCACAAGCAACTATTACTCACAAGTTAAATGTGAGGGATCAAAAGGGTCAAAAGAAAAAGAAAGAATGTTATCTGCATAGCTCTTCTTCCACAGTTTGGTGCCAGTATCTGCATTCCAAAGCACGATGTAATTTGGCGGGTGGATAGCAAGCAGTAAATCTCGCGAGGCATCTTGATTCCACAGCCACTGAACATCTGTAAAGGCCCAATAAATAAGTTATGGCAAAATTCAAAAATAAACCTCTTCAAAACACTTGACTAACTTGTCCATGACATTTAGTTTTTAAAATATAATCCTTAAAATATTAATCCTCCCCTCAGATGTGACATACATGTGTCTTTGTCAAGAACACACAGAAAAAGCTAACTTTATACAAAAATTAGTTGTCTGGTTAAAATCTCAAGGTCAAAATTTTCACATATTCTGAAATATTACCAAAGGAAATAAAAGGTAATTTGCATTAATTATTACTTGAAACTATCAAGATAAGAATGATTAAACAATCTATATGAACATGATAAAATTTTGTTCATCTCTATTAATGCAGAGTATGCACTGATGGCAAATTCATAATAGCAGTTTGGTCAACTTCATAATAGCAGTTTGGTCAACTCATATCATAGCTTAGATTATAAGACTGTTTATAGCAGCTAAATATTATGAATTTTACAAATTCATAATAGCAGTTTGGTCAACTCATATCATAGCTTAGATTATAAGACTGTTTATAGCAGCTAAATTTTTCTTATTATGCTTGATTGAGGTTGATACTGAAATTAATAAATTTTACCAATGCACAAATCATTTGAGATTTTAGGAACATAGGCTCAGAAGTGTACTGATAAGGAAGATAGCACAACAGGCTAAACAATGAATAGTTAACTTGGAAATGATAAAATTAAATAAATGGAAAAACAAAAAACCAAAAAGACTACTCCAAGAATTCACATGTCAATACACACACTTTGCAGAACAGACTTTCCTCACCCTGAATAGGCTTGGCATGCTCCTGGATCTCACACTGAGCTATTCCTGCTGCTACATCCCAAACAATGATCTTCCCATTGACATCAGCAGAAGCTAAGCGCAAGCAATATGGTGAGCCAATGTTATGGTGATAGTTTTCCCGGGCCCATTTAACCTGTTATCAAGAAGAAATCAAATCAAGTAAATACTTGCACTAAATGAAAACAAATATAATTTTCATGAAATGCCAACCAGAACCCATGCTACATTTATATTATAAAATATTTAGCAGACAACTGGTTTTTATTGTGACATTATACATTTTTACTATTTATGATACTCTTTAAAAGTTGCAGTATATTTTTGAAAACATCACAATATTTCTCCCTTAAAATAAAGAAAATGATGCACAGCCTCAGTATTTTGGAAAATTTAGGCAAAAATTCCAGAATACACTGGAAATTACTTTTCCTAAAATTCTAATTATGACAGAATAGCTAAAACCATACATTGTTAAGAAGAATGTTTTTGTGTATACTAGTCTCCCAATTACAGGATACACATTAGATACAGAAAAAACCTTGCAAACCCAGACATGCAGGGTCGGGGGGAAGGGACAGGACAAACAAACTCATTACAAAGAGTGTGAAAGATATGAATAGACACTTCTCAAAAGAAGACATACGAGCAGCCAACAGATATATGAAAAAATGCTCAACCTCACTAGTCATCAAAGAAATGCAAATTAAAACCACACTGAGATACCACTTAACTCCAGTCAGGATGGTCATCATCAATAACTCAAAAAACAACAATGCTGGAGAGGATGAAACAAAAAGGGAACACATCTACACTGTTGGTGGGAGTGTAAAGTAGTTCAGTCTCGGTGGAAAAACAGTGTGGTGATTCCTAAAAGATCTAAAATTCAACCTTCCTAATGACCCCACAATCCCCCTATAGGGAATATACCTGGAGGACTTCAAATCTCTCTATGGAAGAGATACCTGCACATGTATGTTTATTGCAGCACTGTTCACAATAGCAAAAACATGGAATCAACCATGCTACCCATCGAAAGAGGAATGGATAAAAAAAATGTGGTACACATACATGATGGAATATTATGCAGCCATAAAGAAGGACCCAAAAGTCTGACCTTCACAGCAACCTGGATGGACTTAGAATCTATAATACTAAGTGACTTATCACAGAAACACAGAATTGAGTGTCACATGTTCTCACTTATATGCAGACCTTGAACAATTATCATAATACTATAAGACAAGGATTGGCAGTAGTGGGAAACTGCCAGGGAGGGCGGGGGCAGGATTGGTAGTAGTGGGAATCTGCCAGGGAAGGGGGGGCCACACCTCATCAACAAGGGGACATGAATAATGAACACTTGTATACCTAATCCTGAATTGTACCCCACATCTTTAAGATAAAAAAAGAAAAGAAAAGAAACAAAACCTTGCAGAGGGAAAAATAGAAAAAAACAAAAGCAAACAAAAAATTTTATGAAAGAGGTGCCCCTTTTTCATAAAAATGTAACCATTTTTTCTCTGAAAATTTATGTTTCATATCTCTAGTAACAGTTTTAAGAATTTTTTTTTTTAACACAAATTCAGCTGGGTGCAGTTGCTTATGCCTATAATCCCAGCACTTTGGGAGGCTGAGGTGACAGAACTGCCTGAGCCCAAGGGTTTGGGACCAGCCTGGGCAACTTGGTGAGACCTCATTGCTACAATAAATAAAAAAATTAGCTGGGCATGGTGGTGTGTGCCTGTAATTCCAGCTACTTGGAAGACTGAGGCAGAAGGATGACCTGAGCCTAGTAAGTCGAGGATGTGGTGGCCGTCAGCATGCGGCTGCACTCCAGCATGGGCAACAGAGTGAGACTCCAACTCAAAAACAAAAAAACACAAATTTCAAAGAAAATCTGATTAAATTATTAAACAATGCATAATGACAGAGTAAGAGATAAACATATAGTCCTTTCCATGAGCCAGGCCTTCCCTGGCCACTACCCTGGTCACTACCAACCATCTCTTCCATCTCAGCAATCTACTTATTATCTTCAAAGCATTTACTAGACAGTTTGTCCTTATTTCATTTATTTACTTTACTTTTTGCCAACCCATGAACTGTCAGTTCCATGGGGCAGATCACGTAGGCTTTGTTCAAATTTCTATTCCCAGACCTTAGTACAGTGCCTAAAGCTGTGTTTAGTAAATGAACTTAAGTACCACAAAATCTTCAAAACACATACATATATAAACAGATATTAGCATATACACATGTATAAACATAAATACATTCATACATAATGCTGGTAGAAGAGCAAGCAAAGCAACTACAATAGTATTCCTGAAAAACATGGAAACAGAAAGTTTTCTGAATATGTGTTAATAAGCCTTTAGGCTTTAGTGTAATAAAAAAACTCTTGTAATGAAATATGTGGGCATACAAATGTGGATGTGGATGTGTACATGTTTGTGTACATGTCTGAATGTATATGCATGCACATATACAGTGTGTTTGTACACAGTCAATACTAGTTATTTAAAGATTCTGCATTCATAATCAAACTGTTGAAAACCAAGCACAAAGAGAAAATCTTGGAGGTCATCAGAGGAAAAAATACATAATACAAAGAAATAAAGGCAAAAAATTTTCATCAGAAATTTTGTAAGCTGAAAGATAGTGGAGTAATATCTTTAAAGTACTATTAGAAAAACTCACTAATCCCAAATTTTATATTCTTTTAAATACCATTTATACACAAAGGTGAAACACATTCTTAGATTAATAAAAACTGAATCAACTAATATTAGACATGAACTTCAAGAACTCACACTAAATCCTACAGGCAATGGGAATATAATACCAGACTAAAACTTAGATCATACACACACATACACACATACACACCACACACACACACTCCAGAAATACCAAGAAAAAGAAAGAGAGAAAAAAGGAAAATATAAAATATAAAACACCTTACACTTTATATCAGATTTAATGGTGAAAACCTTAATGCTCTCCCCTAAGCTCAGGAACAAAATATAAGTATCCTCTCACCACTCTCACTTATTGTAATAGAGGTATTCGCCACTGCAATATGGCAAAAAAAAAAAAAAAAAAGGAAGACAGATTATCAATGAAAATATTAAACTGCAGTTATTTGCAGATGGCATGACTTGCAAAAACAAAAAATCAACCCCAAAATTACTAAACCTATTAAGATCACAGGGCACAGGTCACTATACTAAAATCAATTGCATTTTCCCTACCTTACATTATATATAAAAATTAACTCAAAATGCATCAAGAACCTACACGTGAGAGCCCAAACCATAAAAAGTTCAAAGGACATCATCAAGAAATCGAAAAGATAACTCACAAAATGAGAGAAAATACTCCAAATCACACATCAGATAAGAAATGTATCTGCAATACAGTAGACCCCCTCAACAGCAATTTCGCTTTCTGAGGTTTCAGTTATTCAAGACCAACCGCAGTATACAAAACATTAAGCAGCAAATTCCTGAAATAAACAAGTCCTGTTTTACATCCTACACCATTCTGACTAGCACGATGAAATCTCTCAATACCCCACTTCATCCCGCGAGGGTCATGAGTCATCCCGTTGTCCAGTGTATCCATGCTGTCTAGGCTGCCTATGTTAGTCACCTAGTAGCAGTCTTGATCATCAGATCAACTGTCTCCGTATGGCAGTTTGCAATATTTTCGAGTTACCCTTATTTTACTTTATAGTGATCCCAAAGCACAAGAGTAGTAATGCTGGTATACTGCTATAATTGTTCGATTTTATGATTAATTATTGTTGTTAATCTCTTACTAGGTCTAATTTATAAGTTAAACTTTATTAAATGTGTGCACAGCAAAGAAAAAATATAGTGTATGCAGGGTTTGGTACTATGCATGGTTTCAGGCAACAACTAGAGGCCTTAGATACATTCCAGAGTAAGAAATCTTACAACTCAATAATGAAAAGACAAATAATACAATTTAAAATGAGCAAAGGAGCTGAAGAGACATTTCTCTAAAGAAGATACCCAAATGAACAATAAGCACTCAAAAGATGCTCAACACTTTTTGCCATCATGGAAATGCAAACCAAACCACAATGAAACTACTTTGCACCCACTAGGATGGTTATAATCAAAAGAACAGAGAACAACACAGTTGGTAAAAATTGGGAGAAATTGGACTCCATGTACACTGCTAATCAGGATGTAAAATTTGGAAAGCAGTCTAACAGGTCCTCAAAAATTTAAACACAGAGTTGTCATATGAGTCAGTAATTCTACTCGTAGATATATACTCAACTAAACTGAAAACACAGTTTCACACAAAAGAACTTGTGCACAAATGTTGATAGCTGCATTATTCATAATGCCAAAACGTGGGAAACACCCAAATATTGGTCCATAAAATAAAAGTGATCTATCTTTATGGTGAAATATATTCAGCAATAAAAAGATTAATATGTGCTACAACATAGAGGAACTGGGAAAATATCATGCTAAGTGAAAGAAGCCAGGCTGCATATTGTAGGATTCCATTTCTATAAAATGTCCAGAATAGGAAAATCTAGAGACAGAAAGTAGATTACTGGTAAAGGATGAAGGTAATGGGGACAATGGAAAATGACAGCTAGTGGGGACAGAGTTTCTTTTGGGATAATAAAATTAATTGCGGTGGTGGTTGCATATCTGCGAATACTAAAAACCATAGAATTGTATGCTTTAAATTAGTGAATTTTATGGTATGAATATCTCAATAAAGCCGTTACAAAAAAAAGACCCCAAATCTCTATTTGTAATACTGACCTCTGCTAAACTCAGATCATTATAATGCAATATATTATAGGCTAATTTTAGACTTTGCATGCTGAAAACATAAACTCACTGACTTTACACTCACCTAATCATAACTGGTAACATTGCCATTCAGTTACTCAAACAGAAACCTTGAAGTCATTCTATTCTCTGTCTCTTCCTTATATCAGTCACTATAAAGGCTATCAGGTTTATCTCTTTTGCAGTTCCTAAATATGACTCCTTCACGCCTCAGTCTTATTTTAGGCCTTTAGAATTTCCTGCCCAAATTACTGAAAATTCTCCTAAATGATCTCACTGCCTCCAATCTTGCCTTTCTCCACCAGATCCTCCACTGCTGCCAGAGTAAGTTTTTCTCAAAGGTAAATATAGTGGTATCAATCGTCCACTTAAACATCCTTCCTAATCTTATAAAACTTTCAGAACAGGCAGCTGAATCCCTCTGGCCACCGCTTCTTTCATCACTCCTACAAGTGTACTTACCTTTTAGTCATTTTTAGGGCACACTGCTTACCTCTGTGTAGTCTTCCTTTTCCCTACAATACTCCTTCCCCAATTTTTTACTTAACTAATTACTGTTTACTAGTCCCTAAAGTAGAAATACTTCTGTGACCCTCCCCACAATCAGGTGATATGCAGCACCTCTGTCTACCCACAGCACATGAAGCAAGTCTCACTTATCATGCTATGAGTCTTCCTCACAATATAATGAGTTGCCTGAGGGCTTTCTTCTCTACATCTTTACTTTGCACATGCCAAGTGTTCACAAATGAATGAATGAATGGTCTGGTAAATGGTAGAATTGGTGTTTCCAATCAGGTTTAAGACGACCTAAGAACTAGCATGTAATAACTCATCCTGAATTGACATTATGTTATATCTATAAAAATGCTAGGCTACCCCAAATAGATTATTATATTTAAAAACGATTCAACACTTTAATGTATGACTTAACGAGGACCTCATAATACACAGTATTAAACTGTAGACAACTTAAATGTATGACTTAACGAGGACCTCATAATATACAGTATTAAACTTCAGACTAGACAACATGTTACAAGGTCAAAGTGGGATCTGACTTACCTTGACAATATCAGCTTTATGTTTTTCTAAAACTTGAAGAGTTTGGGCAGTACTGGAATCAATCACTACCACAAGCGAATGACATCCATAGGCAATTAAACCTTGCCAGCCCCTAACAAAACAGTAATGTTAAAAAGTAAGTACGAAATAATTCAAGACAACTTCTTTCTTGCCCATCCTAAAATAAATGATAAATCTAATTCACATGTAACACATTAAGAAAACTCTCATTTAAAGTCAAAGGCCAGTATTTAAACATCATCCTATTTAAATACAAGACCTGGCTAAGCTTAAAATGCTTGCTGAAATTAACTTTTCCTTCAGATTAAAACAGAAGAAAAATGTTGTAAGAGATATGGATACAGAGCTGAAGACGGATAAAGCAATGTTGCCCCCTCATTGTCTTTGCGGGTATGCCTTTTCTTATTCAATTTCAAATCATTAGGATCCACAAGGTGCCTGAGGTAAGTTGTGACTAGCTCTTGTCTTTCCAAGTTGATAAAAAGACAAGCACTAGACAGAAGGTTTCAGTCCTCTTGACAACATCCCACAGGCACAGATTTTCACTGTACAGTTGTCAGATTGGCAGTTTTCAGAGCTGAAGTGGTCTTTTACAGTGAACAGATACAGAGTAACGGAGACGACCTGTTGAGGATCCAAGGTCCCACTCAGGAAGAGTCAGAAAAGAGAGGGTGACGACACATGGCAACAAGTAGGCGCCTAGCACAGGGACTGGGACACTGCCGAAAGAATGTAAGTGAAACGCAGAAATAAGAGAGAGACAAACAGGTCGAAGAAGAGAAAGCAGATAGAGAATTAATGGTGGAAGAGAAGCCTGAAAGCTGGAGGCGCGGTAGAAACGGGGGAATGGGAAGGTCCAAAGAGGAAGTGCTTAGACAGGAGCAGGGAAACAAACAGGGTAAAAAGAGGGCACATGTATTTGCACGGGGGAATTTCCCTCACGGGGCTGACCACGTTGATCACAACAACAAAAACCCATCATCTAAAGCGAGTCTCCCAGTGTGAGGGCGGCTCCCGGTCTTGGCGAGGCCAAATCAACCAGGAGAGGTGGAACCGCTTGCTCTTTCCCCTTCCCCCTCACAAACCAGCCAGGAAGAGGAACCTCTTTTCTTTCTCCGTTCCCCTCACAATCTCCTGGCCGATCTTGGCGGCCTGGAAGCCAGGAGTCCTCACCAGTCCACCGCTGCCTTGTTGTGGGCGTTGAGGGAGCCGGTGAGAATTCGTCCCGACACCTTGAAATTCACCGTGTAGGGCAGCATCGCTGCGGCAAGCCCCGGCACTCCGCCCCAACCCGCCACCAGGAAACGCCGCCCACTGCGTTTCCGTTCCAAACAGAGTCCGTGTGGCCCTGTGGGCGCCAGCATCAGGTTCCGCCGATCCAAAGTTCCCCAGGCTTCAGGTTCTGCCGACCCCGGAATCCATCGCCCCAAAGTCTGTTCCCTTCACTTTTCATGGATCCCGGTGATGCAGTCTCTACAGTTCAGCAGCGCAGGTGGTTCGGTTGCTCTGGTGGTTCCGCCTAGGTGGTCCGCCGCCCCAGGTGGTTCCGCCGCTCCTTACAAGCTGGAGCTGTGCTTTCAAAGTGGAGATGCTGCCTCCAGTCAAGTATGTTCTCTTGAGCTTGGGTCTGCATAGGCCTCTGTGTCCTGCTGGAATTCATTAAAAAATAAAAAACTTTTAAAAAAGGATACAAGTCCCAATTCGCCTTTCTGCCTTTAATCAGTTAATTTAAAGCAGCTATTGGTGCAGCAGTGTTGTAGGCATCAGGGATATACTGAAGAATACATTAAGTCTCTGCTCTGGTGGAGTTGCAGAGAATAAGTGAGTGATTAATGAATGAACGAGATTAAGTAAATGAAACAGAGTGAATGAAAAGAATGGCTCGATTATAAACAATTTCCACAAAAGGTAACATTCCATATCTGGTCTTGGAAATACCTCCTTCCCCTTGAGGAAAAAGTAGCACTATGCCTGGGGCCAAGTGAGCCTTTGTTGGGGTAGCTTTCATTTTGCACTTTCCCCTCTGCTGCTCTCCAAGTCAGACCCAATCCTTGCCTCTTTGCGCTGAACACTTGGTTTATACCCTTTATTATAGCACTTAATGCAATGATTTCTTTCCAGCTATGACATTTGCAGATATGTTTCTCCCTCAATACATTATTAGCTCCTTAGTAAACAAAAGGGACAACACACCGGTAATTTTCTTCGTTATGGGTCCTTCTGTCCATCTTATCACTCTTCTAAAACAGCTTTCTCAAAGATCACATCCAATATTCTCTTAGTAGCTAAAGCCAATGTACTTGTTTTGTCTCTTTCTTGTTCTCTTCCCTTCCTGTCTTACTTTTCCTTACCCCACACTCTAACCTATGGATGGTTTGGGGGCCATCAGGTGTGCCCATAATCACAAACCTAAATGTATTATTCCCTTATTTAAAAATCATTAATGCTACCTATGACACAGATTGCTAATGGGATCTCCAAATTCATTATTTTCTGTATTCACAGGAACAGAACTTCAATTTCCATCTGGGCACATTGCCACTCCATTAAAAGAGTACATTTCCCCACTCCCCTTGCAACTAGACCAGACCACGAGACTAAATTTCTAGCAAATGAAATGATAGTGGAAGTGTTGTGTAGTGACCTCTAAGAAGTCACTTTACTGATCTTCTGTGCTATGTGAGTAGTTGTATGCTACATTGTTATCTGCAGGTAAGTCTGTCTCAAAGGTAAGGCCAGTACATTTTTTAGGTAACCATAATACAGGGGAATAAAAATGCCCTAAAGGAGCCTTAGCACTTAGAAAGGAACCACATCTTAGTCTTTCTTTCTTCCCACTGCCTAGCACCCTTCTTGGCATACAGTTGGTCCTCAATAAATGACTGATGGTGCAGAAGCTCTAAATGCCCATTAAACGTAAAGTTAAACAGGTACAAGGTAACAATCAGGCATCAGTGCAGGAGCTCAGAGATGGAGGTACGTAGATGGTAACCAGACCTCCTTCCCCCTAGTAAGAAAAATCCTCTTGGAGAAAGAGAGATTAATTTGTTTAAATCTGTAAGCTACCTTGAAGGTATGTATAGTGAATATTCAGAGCAGGGACCAACTGGGGTTGGGACAGCAATATGTCTCCCAAGGTACAATAGTGTGCTATTCAGTATGTAAATGGATTTTTACGGCCTTCTCTGAAGCACCTGTCTTGGCCAGTGTGGAAGACAGGATATTGGACACACTGGACTATTGATCTCTTTAATAGGACAGTAGTTATACATCTCTTTTATGCCCCCAAATAACAATTTTACCCCATGTCTAATGACATCAACTTCAAAATCTGCATTGTGGGCTCAGGGCATCCTGCCACTGCTAAATCATTTGCATGCCTAAACTAGGACAACTTTATTTTCTCTTTCATTTAAATTGCTGTAGATAAGAGAATGTGAACTTCTGATTCCTATTTTAATTGAGTGGGGGAAATACAAGACATGGATGAAAACAGAAATAATGTATAACTGGGTAAATCATTTACCTCCTAAGTAAACTTTCCAGGGTCACATAGGGATGAAGTCAATAGCTTACTATCAAGCACCACAAAGTGCCAGGTACTATGATTTTACTTGTATCATCTCATCTAATTTACACAAAGTTACAAAGACTGTATTATCACCAAGTATCCTACAGATGACAAAATTAAAGTCCATGAACTTGCACAAAGTTATACAGCCAATAGAAGGCAAATCCAGCATCAGAATCCAGGGAAGTCTGATTCTGAAACTCATGTTTTTAACTATCGTCAGCACCACATTGCCCGCCCTGTCATAATCTACTCCACAGCCCCGCTGGAAGAACTCCAATTGCCTGGGAAGTGTGAAATTTAAGAAAGCAACAGATTTATTGAGATATAATTCATATACCATACAATTCACCCATTTAATATGTACAAGTTGGTGGGTTTTAATATATATACAAAGATTTGCAACCCGCACTATAATCAACTTTAGAACATTTCATCACTTAGAAAAGAAACCCTGTACATATTAGCAGTAAATCAACATTTCCCCCACTTCCTCTTCCTTAGCTCTATAATCACTAATCTATTTTCTGTCTCTATATATTGTCCTTTTCTGAATATTTCATAGAAATAGAATCACAGAATCTTTTATGCTTGGCTTCTTTCACTTAGCATGATATTTTCAAGATATGTGTATGTTGTATCATATATCATTACTTTATTCCTTTTCATTGCTGAATATTATTATATGGACATACCATCTTATATTTATTCATTCATCAACTGATGAATATTTGGGTTATTTTCACTTTCTAGCTATTACAAATAGTGTTGTTAGGAACATGTACACATTTTTATGTGGACATGTGTTTTCGTTTCTCTTGGGTGCATACTTAGTAGAATTGCTGGCACATATGATAACTCTATATTTAACTTTCTGAGGAACTGCCAGACTATTTTCCAAAGAGGCTGTACCATATTTTATTTTTATCAGCAGTGAATGAGTGTTTCAATTTCTCCAAATCCTCATCAACACTCATTATTATCTATCTTTTTTATGATAACCCTTCTAGTGAGTGGGAAGTAGTTCTCATTGTGGTTTGGCTTTGCATTCTTCTGATGGCTAATGATGCTATGCATCTTTTCGTGTGCTTATTGGTTGTTTATATCTTCTTTGGAGAAATATCTGTTCAAATCCTTTGCTCATTTTAAAATTTGGTTGTCTGTCTTTACTATTGAGTTACAAGGGTTTTGTATATATGCTAGATAACCACCCCCCTTTAGATGGTGTCTCACTCTGTCACCCAGGCTGGAGTATAGTGGCATAATAATAGCTCATTGCAGCCTCAACTCTTGGGCTCAAGCTATTCTCCCACCTCAGCCCCACAAGTAGCTAGGACAAGTGATGAGACATCATAATAAATAATCCTGGCTAACTTTTAACAACTTTTGTAGAGACAGGGTCTCACTGTATTGCCTAGGCTGGTCTCAAGCAATTTCCCTACATCAGTCTCACAGGCAGAAGCCATGTGCCCAGCTGAGTTTCTTATCAGATATATGATCTGCAATGATTTTTCTCACATTCTATATGTGGCAGCATGGATTTTGAGTCACTTATCTGAGCAAACATTCCCAATGAGGTCAAAACTGAGAAAGATAGTGCTGGCCTGGTTAGGGTTTGATTGTGGAAATTAAAGGGGACACAATTCTGACAATGAGATGCTGAATATAAGAACAGGATGCACTCCCAAGAAATAATGAAATTACTCAAGGAGAAATTTGTGAATTGTTTCTCTTTCTTAGGAATATTTTACTATTTGTGTAGCTTTTACTTGTATTTTTGTTTTAATTCATTTTCCTTGAAATGGCAAGAGAATGAGCAACTTCAGGCACACTTTTGATAGTCCTGCTCAATGCCTGCACATCTAAAAATTTATGTGCACATCTCACACTTTTCCAAATATCATCTAGCACCAAGGACTTCTATATGCATCAGTCTATAAAATTTACCCACTCTATGTGGTCCTCTTAAGGCTTTCAAATGCCTTTATATTACTAATAAAAGATATCATTTGTTGAGCATTGAACTATATGCTAGAAGTTGAGCTAAGGACGGTCCATGTGAGCTAAGTCTTTTGAATTATTTAATCCTTACACTAGGTATTCTTCTTCTGGCCCTACAGAGTCAGAGGAGGTTAACATCAGTAATAGAAGGGCATTTGTTGTGACTTGGGGAAGATTACTCAACCCCATTAATCCTCTTTTACTTTTTCTATTATTGAGGGGGGAGAGAGTAACTATTCCTGGATGATTAAAAGCATTAAATTAGATAGCATAGTAAAAAAAAAAAAGCCCAACACAACATACCATATTATTTACTGGTAGATCTGGGGTATCAATCTAGGGCCTCTGTTTTCAGTGACAACAGGTCTTAAAGATCTTTCTTCTTTAAAGTGCCATTTGAAGTGTGGTTTGCATGAGAAGAAGTAATAAGGATTGAGGTAAAAATGGAGTTGAATTTGCCATGACAGTTACCAGGACATCAAAATTGCAGCCAGATTTAAGATTAGGGCTTTAAGGGGACATAAATAGTGAATGCATCGCACAGAATCTGGGAAGTCACTCCTGAGGTTAGCCTACAGGGACTAACTTGGTTCTTCCTAAAAGATCTTCCTGCCCTTCCTAAAAGATCAGCTGTTTGAGCTACCAGGCAGACTCCAACCAGAGCTCTGCAAAAGCCATGAGCAGGGACAGCCACCCTGCAAATTGCATCATGCTTACTTTCGCAGATGCTGTTTGGTACTTGCATCTGGTGGCTGCAGAGGTTGACTTTGAAAGGGGAAGGGCTGCAACTTGTATAACAATTAACATAACCTTGCCTCAAGTCTCCTCCTGGCTTGCCCACCCCCGACACTAAGCCTGCCCCTCCGTTTTTCAGACCTAGTCTTCACGCTTCATTCATAACCTTCTCCTGAAGCTTGGCTACGTAA